TTTTTCGCGATAGCTCCGAACACGCTGGCGATAGAGAGCTGAAACTTGGCATACCTGACCTTTGATCCAAGCCGCATCTTTTGACACCAACCGCATTTTTGGGTCAGGTCAGGTCACTGACCTATGACGTCATAAGTGAACCTCTGCACGGTCTTCAGATGTCGCAACTTCGCAACGCCCTCACTGCCAGAGGAGATGTCACAGGGCAATGAAACTTGCAGGATCTAGTATCCATTATGAGTCCCACAACTTGTATATCTCGGATTTTTCCTAAAGGTCATATGAGGTCAGGTCATTTTCGTGACCTCACCATTATAAGTCAATGGGGAAAATGAAAACTGCTATTCTGGCGCCGGGAACGATCTCCAACTATCTCAAGCACACAGAATCGTGATTTTATGCACTCCTTGCAAGGTTAGATGCGTCACTTTTGCAATGTTGACCTTGCGTGACGTCATTTATGACGTCATCAAGGTCATATTAGTTTTTCGTCAATAACTCTTGATCAAATTGAGCTAGCGAGTCGGAAAAGCCACCAATGGACTCAGGAAGACCTGCCGAATCGAATGATATGCGACATGACCTCTTTCGACCAACTTCGTGACCTGGGGGTGCTGACCTGACCTTGACCTGAGGTCAACACCCCAAGTTGACCTGACCCGGACAAAAAGTATACTATTCGACGCGCCTGAGCGAGACGAACACGATGCTGCCAAAATCGGCGCTCTGCGGCCGTTTTTTGCGAAGTTATTCACCAAAAACTGAACCGTACCTTGGGGCACTTGACCTGACCTCAGAGGTCACCGGTTGACCTAGGACCTTAAAATCGGGTACCAATCTCTGCGTCTCGTAACGGCGCACACGCTCGTTTTTTCCGCGACGCGCTAGCTCCACCAGGGGCGAAACGGCGAGGGGGGGGGGTCGTACCCGCCCCCCCCCCCCTCGGCCGGCGCGTATGTAGAAAACCAATAGGTCCGGCGAGGGTTAAGTGACTACAATTATCGCATGTTTGTTACGAGTCGTCATTCGGAATACTTCGGCTGTGAGGGCGCCAAGAGCGTTTTCAAGGTGCGCGTTCCTCGCGTTCCTTGCACTACATGCGCCTTTGAAGCTGCATTTCTTACTCATTATGCTACCGTTTGTCTGGCCAATTCGGTCAAGTAATCTTCAGCATGTCTTTGCATAAGTGTGCTGCCTATTTGAAATCTATACGGCACGTTGAAAAGTTATGGGCCTGCAAATGAAAGTATGGCTGGCTGGGGTAATGCCGAAAACGTGCAATTACGCACGTTAAAGCACGCTACGTGGACTTTACTGCTGTAGAATAGCAACGCGAATTTTTAGTCACACAAATTACACTTTCAACCGACACAACGGCCTGTTACCTATAAGGAATTATTTACCTGGCATTTTCTTATTACCTATATCACACAATTATAACTTCCAGTGTGCACCAAGCGTCCTCAAGCTCCTAAAACGCGTGTCAGCTTTAACCCTCGCATGTGTGCGGCGTTTGCCAGCTTCTAATGTGTAGGGGGGGGGGGGGTCGGTTGGACCCCCCCCCTTGCCGTTTGGCCCCTGATCGAGCTAGAGCTTCGCGGAAAAAAACGAGCGTGCTGCCCGTGACGAGAGGAAGCCGATGATACCCAATTTTAAGGTCCTAGGTCATTGGTTGACCTTCCAGGTCAGGTCAATGACCCAAAGTCGGGAAAATCGGGACCTGTTAGAAAGTCGTAAAGTGTGGCTGCTAAGGGGTTTTTCGGGGTGCTGATCACGAATATCGTGTTAGTTTTGATCACAGATGATGTCTTGAAGCATTTAGACCAGGTCGGGTAAGGTCAGGTCAGGTCAACCAGTAGGCGTCGTGACGGGTATTCGTAGTACGTGTCAACCGCCTCTGAAAGCTTCGTAACATGTTACGAAGTCACCAAAACTACTTCGTAAATGTTCAAATGGTTGCTAAATTCGAATTCAGCTCCAAAAACTAGCCTAGAAACATGTAAAACTCGAAAAAGTGACCCGAGGTCACCCGAGGTCACCAAAGGTCAATGACCTGACCTGACCTTCAGGTGACCTTGACACACACGGGAGTAACATCAAATCACATGTTTGAACGTTTGAAACCACGAAAGCTTGCAAACACGCGGCTAGTGCGAGCCGACATACGCGAAATCGCGATTCCGGCCAAACATGGTCTCGGAAAAGAGGTCACAGGTCAAAGGTCATTTGGGTCAGGGTCATGAAATTTTCAGGGTAGGTGTAAAATTGATCAATGCGAGGGTACTGAAAGTTTCGTCGCGATCGGCCGCTTTTTACGCGAGTTATTCGCGAAAAACCATGGGGGGTCCATCCGACCCCCCCCCCTACACATGCGAGGGTTAATAAATTCTTGATAAAGTTTGAGATAAAGTGGCAAAACATCAATGTTGGCATTCCCCGTAAATCATTTCTCCCATTTTCGGCTTTCCCCGCAGTTCGGGGCAACGCCGAAAAAGTCACTTCTTTGATATTTTTAGTTTGTGCGCTTAACGGTATGCGAATTCATCAAATGCGCCTGGTATGTTTGAAAGGCAAAAGACTGGCCTCTCGAATGACGCCAACAAGAATAGCTTATGCTGTCTACCTTGCGTGCTACGGGCGTCAGAAAAAAAGTATTCGGCGTTCCCCCAACTTCCCCTAGTACTTACGTGCATACCTTAGAGCAGGACTACGGAGTCGATGGATTTTCGGTGACTCCGACTCCGACTCCGACTCCGGCTTTCAAAAACCAACTCCGTCTCCAACTCCGACTCCGGGCAGAACTGTCGACTCCGACCGACTCCGACTCCGCAGCTCTGCATGGAGTGTAGATGTGACTATATTGTGCTGCTCTCTAGTGATGGAATAGTGCTGCCACCTAAGCTACACCTGGGTCCCTGGGTATAAGTCAGCGACGGAAATATTTTAACTTTAATTTGGCAGCAGAACTGATCAAAAAGCATCTCAAGTCGAGCAAATGGGATCGTAGTTTCATGCACTTCGTGTAAGGACCGATGCTATTTTTAGCACTTGACCTTGTGTAACGTCATCTAAGGCTTTAATAAAATCATCGGAGTTTTTCGTCAATAACTCCCGATCAAATCGAGCTAGCGAGGTGGGAAAGCTACCAATGTAGTCAGGAAGAACTGTCAAATCGCGAATGATTGCATTATGACCCATTTCGACCAAATTTGCGACCTGAGTAGCTCTGACCTGACCTTGACCTAAAATCAACGCCCCAAGTCAACATTGCCCAAACAGAACAAAAATACCTAAAACATTATACGCGTCTGAGCATGAAAAACACGACGATGCCAATGTCTTGACTCTGAAACAATTTTTGGCGACAATAGACGTTTTCACGATGGCCATCTAATACACATTTAGTGCACATTTGGTCAGATTTGGTGCAGCTTTGGTCAAATTAGGTTAAATGTGTTTCTTCGTAGCTATTAGCTAGGGTTGCGCTATTTGCTTATATGCCTTCTTTGTCATATTATTTGACATTATCATCGACTAAGACACTGAAATGATTTCATGATTTTAATATATTTGCGGTAAAATAGATTTGGTCCGATTTGGTCAAATTAGGTGCATTCGGCATGTAGCCCGTCGTGAAAACGGCTATTATTCACCAAAGCAGAGCCTGTAATCCGTACCTGGAGGCACTTGGCCCGACCTGAGAGGTCAGCGGTTAACTTGAGACCTTAAAAAGTCGGGCATTGGTCGCTGCGCCCCGTAACGACTCATAATCACGTTTTTCGCGAGGGTCTAGCACTATTGCTGGGTGAAACGGCAAGAGTAGCGCATGTAAGTACGGCCATAGTGTAATAAATAAATTATTTATTACACTATGGTACGGCCCTCCAGCAGAAGAGTGGTTGGTTAGCTATGTGCTTTTGGTGTAATAACTTTGAATGACGGAGACACTCCTGTAAAATGACTCAATAGAAATAAGAAGAGGGTTTGTGCATACACTTCAGCAATGGTTTTATATAGCGGTTTTAAAGATATAGCGGGCCTGGTGGCGCAGTCGGTAAAGGCGTCGACCCGCGGTGCGGGCGGTGCCGGGTTTCGGGTTCGATTCCCGGTTCCGCCCGTTCCGCGGGCGTCGTCCCCGGCTGTGTCACCAGGTGTGGGGCAGGCTCCCACTTCAGCCGTAGCCTGGGGGGTGTGGGAACAAGGGCCAGGAGGAGGAGGAGCCCTCCTGTACTTGGGCCACAAGTGCCTGTTGGAGGGAGGCCTAAATAAATAAATAAATAAATGGTTTTCAACAGCCATTTGACGCATTCATCAACGCAGATCAATTATTGTGATGTTGGTAACCAACCACTTAATACCTGGAGGGCCGTAGTACCCGCCCACCCCCTCCCTCGGCCGTGGCGGAAGAAACGGATACTGGTATAGGTCCGGTGAGAGTTTGTGCCACCAATTTTTTTCGATTATTTTTCTGCTATATCTTATCATATTGTCCCATCAAGCGCGGCAATTTGGTATAAGCTTCACCTGTAAAGATCCACTTTATTCGCTTATCCTTATGTAAATTCAACAGTTTTGTAGGCAAACGCTTCTACAAAAATGAACTTGACTGGTTTACAGTTGATAGGGATATGTTATATGTTTGCATGTCATGGCTTAGAATCTTTGTTAGCACGCTCATACGTGCATCGAGGTAACCGCAGCTTACGTAACGATATTCTGATGTGCGTGCGAAGTTAATTCTTATAAATACTCGCTTCCGTACCGCGTCGTAACCTTGACCGTCATTTTCGGCAGCTTTCCTCTCGTCATCCGTGGAGCCTCCGTATCCGTAGTGCTGCGCTGAGACCTCATCCAGGAAGGATCCCACCCGGGCGCGGATTACGGGTCGTGCAGGTGCCGTTCGGAGATGTTGGGAAAGGTGAGGCGTGCGCCGTCGCCCGCCGCGCCGCGCCGCCACCGTCGCGGCGGCCAACCCGCGGCGCCCAGGGCCGCCGCCGGCCGAGAGTGAGAGTGAGCCGGCGTCCAGCTGGCCGCAGTGTGGCCGTGAGACGCGAGCGGTGAGGTGGTGAGAGTGAGCGGACGAGCGAGCGGGCCGCTGCAGTGAGAGCGAGCGCTAACGGGACCCGGCGGACATTGCTAGACCGGACGACACACATTTGCAATGGTGAGTAAAATGGACTCCAGACAGTGGCTGGTACGACGGTGGGTAGGGTATCGACGGTTAAACCTTATGCCGTCATTTGCAGACGCCTGCATACGGGCGCCCCCCCCCCCCTCCAAAGCATGGCGCTGGTGTTACTTCTCCGAAGCAGACGGCAGCGTCAAAGCTCCCATAAAGCAGTAGTCCAGCCACTCGGCCAGGTCTACGCGCTACTGAACAATGCGCTTGTGCGTCGATCCGCGTCGCTGCTGCGCGGTCAGTGGAGCCACGCTCTGCGTACGAGCTGTGACGCAAAGCCACGGTTCACGGGCCGGCCGGTGTCGCAAACGCCGGCTACCTTCGATGGGTGTGCCTGTCGTAACCGGCCGCCAGCGCCGACACGGCGGCATTCATCGGCGATGGGATCACTGGCGTCTGGTCTGGTCGTACCGGCGAACCCGGGAGAACCGCCGCTGAAAACAGCCGACCACAAAACAGCCTCGGACCCGCCGGCAGTCACAAAGAATTGGACAAAGCCTCTTATGTGTCACCTTCTCTCTATACATTAGTCATCCGCACCGGTCGGCAGTGCGGCGTCCGATGGCTCGCAGCGATTCCAATGAGCCCATTCCCCTCCAGCTGACATGTCCTTTGCGTAGCGAGACAGGTTTGACAGGTTTGCTCTCATTGGGCGCCGGTGGGCCGAGGAAAATGTCTCGGCAGCCGCTGCACCGCTAAATGGTCAATGCCAGATCGCAGATTGGCGACCGACCACCGGAAAGTCCCGCCGAACGAGAGCAAACAGGGACTGGACCCATTCGGCGATATCAAGAAATGGTATCGAACTGGTCAGGAAATGGTGTGCACGGGGGAAAGAGAGAAAGGGGAAGAGAGGGAGAGAGAGATAGAGAAAAGAAAGAGGAAGAGAGAGAGGGAGAGAGAGAGAGAGAGGGAGAGAGAGAGAAAAGGAGAGAGAGAAAAGGAGAGAGAGAAAAAAGGAGAGAGAGAGAAAAGGAGAGAGAGAGAGAAAAGGAGAGAGAGAAAAAGGAGAGAGAGAAAAAAGAAGAGAGAGAGAAAAGGAGAGAGAGAGAGAGAGAGAGAGAGAGAGAGAGAGAGAGAGAGAGAGAGAGAGAGAGAGAGAGAGAGAGAGAAAGAGAGAGAGAGAGAGAAAGAGAGAGAGAGAGAGAGAGAGAGAGAGAGAGAGAGAGAGAGAGAGAGAGAGAGAGAGAGAGAGAGAGAGAGAGAGAGAGAGAGAGAGAGAGAGAGAGAGAGAGAGAGAGAGAGAGAGAGAGAGAGAGAGAGAGAGAGAGAGAGAGAGAGAGAGAGAGATCTAGGTAATAGCCAGCCATATGTCCTAGTGACACAACAGAAGTTGTTGATCAAATGCCGCTATCAAAACCTGTTGCAATTATTTGCCTTTACAACGTGAATGCTGAGAGATATGTGCCCTTCGTTATTAGTCATATTCATACGTAAATATGCAACGCTTTTCCACTTACCTCAAACAACAATAGCGTTGCAGGTAGATGTGTCATGCGGAGGCAGTTCGCTCACTAGATAGCGGAATCGCATGTGCGGGTGAGTTTTAATGAAAACATAGCTTTCAATTAACAATGAGCATGGAGTTGGACGTAAGCACTTGATGTTCCTTGTCAAAAACGTATGTTGTCTCCATTGAGTCGCCTTTGTGTTGCATAAACAGGACAAGACAAAGGGTAGATATTTCCTTAAAATGTATTTGTTGCATGCTGCTCGTTTGCATCTTAGTTGTGTCCTTCACATTTCATTCGGGCTTCAGGGTGAAGTCAGTTTAAGATATTGACCTTAGGTCAAGGTCAGATCAAAGCCGCCCGGATTGACCGAGTGATGTCGTGTTGCAAATCGTTTGATTTCACAGGTCATTCTGAGAATATTAGTGATTTTCCCGGCTTGTGCACCAATTTCATCGGGAGTTATTGATGACAGAATATGATGACCTTAGCGAGGTCATAAATGACGTCACGCAAGGTAAACACTGTAAAAGCTAGGCATCGGCCACCTTGCGAGCAACGGATTAAATCACAATTCTGTCATGTGCTTCAGATTGTCGTATGCATCAGTTCCAGTGCCAAAAAGCCCGCCTCCTTATTCCCTTATCAACCTGTAATGGTGAGGTCACCTGGCCGATACTTACCTGAAAATAACCTTTGATGTTGACAACTCATAGTCATCTAGCTTAGTGAACCCTCATATTTCCGCTTATTCAGCATAATAAATTGTGCTCGATGATTAGTACCGTCCGTTCCCTGCTCGAATAAGTTGACAGAGCGTCGTCACGTACAGTGTTACATGCACCTCACAACTCACATCCAATGTCAAGTTTATTAATGTCGCTCTGGCCTTGACGCGGACATGAGGCAGCTAACGCTGAGTGAGCAACTAAAAAGAAAAAAAATATATAATCACAAGTCATCACACTCTCCTAATCGGCTGACTTGCATCCTTCTATAGACATTCAAGAAGCGACAAATTAGGAGGCATATGGACTATGGAGCCTATCAAAGGGTATAGTCAAAAGAAACATTCGTAGCCAGAACATGGGCATAGATAATATTTCCCTGTTGAAAATTGTTCAAGATATGAATGTGAATGAGCATGAATGTGGGCGGGCGGGCTGTAGTGGGCAGCAGTCACCAATGAGTGTGCAGTTTTGACTAATTTGTTTCTTATTCAGTTCCGCTAACTCCTTTGGCTTTTCTCTCTTCAGCTTTTCATATTGCATTTCATTTCCTTCTTAGGAGTGCAGCGACTTGCAATTTTGAGTTGTTTTGGGTATGTATATAGTGTACGGAAGGTCCTGTGTGACTGGAATATAGGAAGGGGGCTCTGGGCACCTGATAACTTGTGACCGCTTATGAAGATATACTAAGCAGGTATCTGTTTTTATCTTACGCTATAAACGTTATTTAAACTCACAACTACATACTAATACCGTTTTGAACCGAACACTGAACAGACAACAAAGAGAATGTGGTCCACTATCACCATTAAGTACCTACCTAGTTTAATTTCGACATTTCCATGTCTCAATATCAGAGGCAATTATTATGTCACTTGACGTAAGTCCGTTAGACAATGTCAACATCCTTTACAGCTATGTCTTACCTTTCGATAAGTTACTTCAACTGGTAGCAGATGTAATGCAGTTGAGAAATGTGTACTTAACTTGAAAAATGCTATTCGCAACGAGGAAAACCGGATCGAATTTCCGTCTCAAAATCGCATAGCACGTCACTCATAGCAATGAAAGAAGCACGAAAGCAGTGACAACACTAACAGTAAATAGCAAGTATAGAACTGTCTCACGACCACAAAACTGCGAGGCTTAAAATGCTAATAAGCTCTCGCACCGGACAACGCGATTTTCAGAAGTCGGGGAAACAAATATGTTGAGGCATGCCTACAACGTATTCAAAGTGTGCTTACACATCCCGTCCTTTATCATAAAACTAACGTTGTTGAAACTTGAAACTCGCCCTGTTTGATCCACATATTTGATTGTATCTATCTTTTATTTGTACATATTTGCACATATCTGTTGGAAACTCGCCCTGCATGGATTACGGATAGGTACACGAGACCCCAGTCCCAGAGAAAGTCGTGCGAGTCCACATATGTTTACGACAAGGATTAAATATTTATTCAATCGTTTGTCGCAGCACTTTGTGGGAGCATCTGGCGCGTTAGAAGCCGCCTGCTCGACAGTGATGCACGGGTAAGATTAATGATTCATGTGTGCACTGTGCATAGATGCTAGAGTCATGCTGACATAGACAGCGGATTTCTCTCGCAGGTCAGTTAACTTCGATATTCCCCTCGCGTGGATTCTTGGTTCCTTATCAAAAGATAGGCGGGTAGAGAGTGAAAGAAAGAAAGAGAGAGAGAGAGAGAGAGAGAGAGAGAGAGAGAGAGAGAGAGAGAGAGAGAGAGAGAGAGAGAGAGAGAGAGAGAGAGAGAGAGAGAGAGAGAGAGAGAGAGAGAGAGAGAGAGAGAGAGAGAGAGAGAGAGAGAGAGAGAGAGAGAGAGAGAGAGAGAGAGAGAGAGAGAGAGAGAGAGAGAGAGAGAGAGACGCAGTGTCAGTCATTCCTTGTCAGGGACGCCACCAACTACAATCACACAGTCTCTTGCAATCACTACAGACATTTTTCACTTGTCAGCAGCGTTCACCGTCGTCATTGATTCATAATTACATGTGCCTTCGCTGGCCGAATGCATGGCTCTCACTGACCAGATGGCGCCCCCTTTCTCTGACGCCTGGTTCCTCTTGTCTGCCTTTATCGCGCAGCCGCCCCTCGTCATACTGACGTTCCGTGTGCTGACGCCCCTTGCCTCTGACTGCAAAGTACATACACGGGGAGACAGAGGGACAAATCGACAAGTGCCCTGCACCCTCATATTTTATTTTTTGCTTAGAATTGGTCTAATGGGTTGTGATGGGCGGGGAAGCCAGCTGTGGCAAGGATTTTTTTCTTCGAACAACGGTTTCCGAGATATAGCCTCGGGCAATTCCTGGATTTCGCGCTGCAGCCCTATGTTTGGCGGCTTATAACTCAGAAACTATTGGCTTTTTACGATAAAAACTTTATATGGTTCAACTCACAATCAACCAACAAACATTTTGGCTATCTCGGATTTTCAATTTTTGAAAATTTTGATCACGTGACCTTTTGTTCTATTTCTCGAAGAGTGGCCTTGATATTTTCCCCACTGAAAGTTGCAATTTTGTCTGATGACGATTAAAGCCTTATCAATTGTCATTCATATGCGATAATAAAAAAAGTGGTTATCGCCCTGCGTTGACCTCAGGTAAGGTCATTTTTATGACCTGTCCATTATTACGAGCGGGAGCGACAGCGAGATCTCGAGAATAAAGCAAGATAGCGACAAGCGGTAAACGGTAAAGGGCACACACGGATAAGGTCTATAATTTTTACTGAGGTCATTTTCAGGTCAGGTCAAAAATGACGTCACAGGAGCTAAAAGGATGTCAAAATAGCGGCACTATACACACATATGAAGTTTTTCTCGAATAACTTTCAAGGTATCCCAGCTAGGAACAAACTAATAGCACCATCGTGATCCTCTCGTCGATCCGCATCGAAACATATGTTTGTTGACCTCGAAAGGTCGAAAGGTCAAAAGTTGACCTTAGGTCACGTGATTTAAGGTCAACTTTTGACCTTTCGACCTTTCGAGGTCAACATACATATGTTTCGATGCGGATCGACGAGAGGATCACGATGGTGCTATTAGTTTGTTCCTAGCTGGGATACCTTGAAAGTTATTTGAGAAAAACTTCATATATATGTATAGTGCCGCATTTTGACTTCCTTTTAGCTCCTGTGACGTCATCTTTGACCTGACCTGAAAATGACTTCAGTAAAAATTATAGACCTTATCCGTGTGTACCCTTTAACGTTTACCGCTTGTCGCTATCTTGCTTTACTCTCGAGATCTCGCTGTCGCTCCCGCTCGTAATAATGGACAGGTCATAAAAATGACCTGACCTGAGGTCAACGCAGGGCGATAACCACTTTTTTTATTATCGCATATGAATGACAATCGATAAGGCTTTAATCGTCATCAGACAAAATTGCAACTTTCAGTGGGGAAAATATCAAGGTCACTCTTCGAAAAATAGGACAAAAGGTCACGTGATCAAAATTTTCAAAAACTGAAAATCCGAGATAGCCAAAATGTTTGTTGGTTGATTGTGAGTTGAACCATATAAAGTTTTTATCATAAAAAGCCAATAGTTTCTGAGTTATAGGCCGCCAAACATAGGGCTGCAGCGCGAAATCCAGGAATTGCCCGAGGCTATATCTCGGAAACCGTTGTTCGAAGAAAAAAATACTTGCCACAGCTGGCTTCCCCGCCCATCACAACCCCTTACACCAGTTTTCAACGAAGAATAAAATATGAGGGTGCAAATTTAATTTTTTATTTGTCGATTTGTCGTGGAACGCCCCATACGTCCCTCTGCCGCCTATTTCCTCTAACATTCCATGCCTCTGACTTTCTGTCCCTCTGTCTCCCCGTGTCTCTGACTCTGCCCCTTCACCCGCAGATGACGCCGCGGAGGATGACGTTGCTGACGGGCCTGCTGGCCGCGCTGCTGGCTGCCGGCTGCGGCTACCACATGGGCGCGCCGGAGACGGCCTGCAGCTCCATGGTGCCGGGTCACGGGTCGGCGCCACAGCAGACGGCCATGCCGTACACCGTCAGCGTTTCTAACACCACCCTCCGACAGGGCAGGAGGTGGGTGACAGACCACGCCATCAGTGTCTGTGATATCGGACTGGAGAGACTGAAAATTACCCAGCAGAGTCTTCGCAAGCATACATATCTCACACCACACTGGCCATCACAAAGGGGTGTTAAATTGTTAAATTGTTAAATTGTTCTCTGGTGCCGGCCGGTAGTTCCCCCCCCCCCCCTTTGGTCCAGTCTGCCCCCGTGACTGGTCAGTCTGAGGGAGGGAGTGTCTGTGAGGAGGGGCGTGACTCAGCTGATCTGCCCGCCGGCACCGGGGACCGCCTGCCGAAGGTCAAGAGGTCTGGTGAGGGAGGGGAACGGACCTGTTTCCGTCCGCCTTCCGTTCCGGCAGGCCGGGCGCGCCGGACGCGGCGGCGGAATTTCTCATGCGTCACCACACTGCACGGTGTGTAAGTCGGATATAAAGAGATTACGGGGCTGCTTTACGCACCGTGGCGTAACACCGGCCGAGGGAGACAGTCAGTGCGTTTTTCCAGCTTTGCATGGACTCGCTCCGTCCAGGTTCCATTTTCTGCAGAGATCGCTGCAGCCCTGTTCGTTTCGTGCAGCTGTGCCGGACAAGGAGCATTGTCCCGGCTGCTGCGGTGGCCTCTCGACCTCCACCGTCGGTCAGATATCCTTCCCAATGACGCGATCGCCAGAGCAGAGACGTCATTGAGATTCAGAGGCCCCGGGTCGCTGCTGGAACCAGGGACAGACCGCTGGTCACCGCATGGGAAGGCCCTGACGGACATGAAGGATGCCTCACTTCTACACCTGAGCACGACTGGCTAGTCATTGCTGGGTTGCAAAACGGAAGTCATCATGATCCGCGAAATGAAAATGAGGCGATGTGGTAATTTAATTGTCGAATACCCGCGTTTGAAGGTTGTAAAGTCACAAAGTGTTTCTTTGATGTTCACATGAATGGCTCTAATTGCCATGTGGCGTGAGCAGCATTCATTCACGCCTCCACCATTAATTCAAATGCTTTACTATCTGATAAATGTAAGCTTTTTATATGTGCTGAATCTTGGAATTGGAACTAACTGGCACTTACGGCACACCAGCATGCAAGTCTGGACCGTCCCTCACCCGGAACCCCGTAATGGCTATCAATAGAAAACATAATTATAATGAACAGTGTTGTCTATTTCAAACAACCTGCGGTAACTTCCCGTTTCTCCAATATCAATCACGGTCTGGTTTCACATATTTCGCCGTTCCTTTTCATTGTCGCTTAGGTCCTTTTATTTCACCGTCATGCGGCGCTGACCGTTGACCCTGAATTGAGCTCACGGCAATCTAGAGGTCACCGTCGTCACCGCCTCATGGAGGCTCACTGCGTGACCCGCGCAGCCGGCACAGTCCAAATCACGGATAGGCGGCTCTGGTCCTAAAATGATGGTGTCTGAGGGCACTGTTGTCGATTCTTTATGCTGGTGTTTGAGGTTAGTTTTGCCAGAAAAATGCTTTCTCTCGATCGTTATAGGTGTGAAGTTTGCACCTCACGTGCATCGGTCCGGAAGGTAATGGCACAATGTCATACTTGAGGAAAACCGATGATTGGCAGCTGTCGGCTACACTGAGAAACACTCAAGCCTATCCATGGTTCTCGGAGACCATGCAGGGGTCGTTCTGGTCTTGTATGAGAGCCTCAATTGGGGAGAACTTTGTTTACAGTTGTTGGTCTCCAGTTTGGTAAAGTTCTCAGGTTTTTCCCGTAACGTTCTCGAGTGAGAATGGTGTGCTATCTTGAACGAGAACTTTGCCCGGATAAGGTACTCTTATACTGCGGGATGATCTCCCATGAGAACCTTTACCAGGTCATGAGATCATAAACGAACACAATTCCCGCTCATAATATGATCCTGTATGGTCTCCGAGAACTTTACAACTTTCGCCGGCGCCGGCTTTCCTGGCACGGCATTCGCGCTCACGACCCATTCCCCCCTCTCCCCTCCCTGTAGAGCGCCAGCTTTTCATGGCACAGCATCCGCGTTCTCGATCCTTCCCATTCCCTCCATGCACAAACAAGGTAAAGAACAGGCATGTATATTTATTGTGTCAGATGTCAAAAAACTCACTCTGGAACAGAACATGCGATGCAGTCATTCGATGCGAACATTTTGTTTCAAAAGCTGCCCAAACCCTTTCGCTTGCCGCCCCAGTCAGTACCGACCAGCGTGCTGAGTTTCAACCGAGTCGTTTAGCAAGAGACCATAATATCTCCCGGTGCACGACAGCTCAGTCCCTTTACTTTACTTTTAACACGGAATGCAGGTAAGTGCAAAAATGCATGTCAAGCGGCGTTCCCCACGGTCCACAGACTGTGCGAACGATGTTGTACAATTCAAACACTGTTAAGTACAGGCACGTACAATAGTTACACAGGCACAGACATTAAAAAGTTAATACAGGTAAAATGTATGGGCTGGCATGTGAACACTACCGACGGGAGTCCATGCGAGACCGAAGTCTAGCCATAGGAGCGGCGGAGGCGACGACAGCCGGTTGGCCGCTCTAGACAGTTTGCGCAGCTGGTAGCTGCATCTGGCTGGGGAGGAGTTACTCCAGCATGGCAGCCTGCTGACTGCTGAACCATGAGCGCCATCAGACGCTCCAGCTTCTCGTTGTCTCCCATCACCGGTACGAGCGATCCGACACGACGGTGTTAACTTATGTGCGTCTCTGAATCGGTGTCGCGCACAGGGTCAATCTCACTCGCGTACTGGCCACGCATATTATCGATTACACCACTATTTCACTATTTCACTGTGGCCGGACCGTCTCGGCGAACACGCCTCACCTCACCTCGCGGCACTCAGCTGTGTTGACACCAGCGCCGCTCGGACGATACTGACCCTCGGCCGCTCGGCCCGGCCCGGCCGGTCAAGGTCGTTCAAGGTCACGGCTGTCAAGGCGCGACACGCGTGACCCAGGGCCAGGACACAACAGGGACATCAACATTCTGGCGTTGTGCCCGATGAGTTGCCTCACTTCGGTGTCCAACATTGAGAGCATCGTCTCTACGGCTTCTTGCTCTGAAAGGGAGAGCAAGACAAATATTAGAGAAACGGCAGAAACGCTTAATTTCTGAGCCATATCCTCAAAGCACACGAATTGGTATTTAAGCAGATTTTGCTAACACTGGCAAACAGATGGCAATCGCAACCTATATCCCAAAAATGGGCAATGGCACACAGATTTTGCCACTTCCCAGAGTAAGTAATTACCTTTGCTGTGGTTACTTTCAAGCTGTTAAGTGCACACAAAGAATACAGAAAACAAACTCACCATGAGACGTTCGCGCTGTGCGCCAGACACCAACTCGCGAAAGGAACAACCACGCTGCCGGCAGCCTTCGCAGTGCTTTCGAGAAAGGAAGGACCGGAAGCACTGAGGCATTATAGAGATGTTCCTTAGGGATATCCATTTAAATTGGTTTGAACTGTTAAAATCGATAAACATCGTGTCATATAGTAAGGCTCTTTTTCATTAAAAAATATTTCTTCTTCTTCTACTGAAAAATGCATGTTTTATTTTTATCAATAATTGCTATTTTCCTAAGCGAAAATGGAATCGCAGCATTTCAAACTGCTCTACTCTTAACACAGCGCCACCTACGCCTTTAGTTTCCTTCTGTGCTGACATCTGTCGTCAAAACACGTCAGCTGCGAGAACTATAAGGAAAAAAGTGAGAAGTTTACCATCCTTTCTGACCAAATGACTGCCGGTTCGAATCTCACCGCAGACCGACTGTTTGCGTTACACGGGTAGCTAGACAACTTCCAGTACTAAACTATCTCGGTCAAGACCAAATCCACTCCTGAAACCGAAGTGGAGACCATGCACAGTTCTCGGGAAAGACCAATTCCTCAAAGCGGCAAAATGGAAACCATCGAAGGTACTCAGGTGAGTACTATCAGTATAAGTTCTAAAATGTGTTTTTCAGTGTAGTGAGTAGTCGAAGAAGTAATCGCCACTTTACACCGACCAAACAGTGTCATTTGCAGCTACTCGGTCAAATGCGCAATAGTCTATTCCGGAATTTCTCGTGACGAATCAGCACGTTTTACAACACACGGGTCATGTGGGGGAGTTTTTGCGGTAGGACAACTGCCTTAAATCCCCAGTTGCTGGAACAGGAGGGGCCTCTGCGCTATAAGACCGCCACTTTATTACAGCCACGACTACTACCGGGGCCTCCGTGGGACACCAGGTGAAGGTCAGCGCGGCAGCTTTGAAGGACTCTGTCTCTCCCTCCCCTTATACAAGGCGGTACCGGTGGGGACGCCAGTTCAAGGTCATTGGTGCGTGATTTTCCTTTGATCTTCCACTGATTTGAACGGGTTTTATCGTCAAATATCCAAGGACAGGTTTGTGTTATGACGAAAACGCTTCTAGAACAAGCAAAGCAACATGAAAAAAGTGAAAAATAACAAAAAACCGTTTTAGTATTGCTTCCCAAAATGGTCACCGTTCAGGCGTCATTTCCTTTCGTCAGCCGCCTCAATATGGGGTAACTGATCGAACTGATCAGAGGTCAGCCCCTCTCCTCCCTGAGACAGCAGTCTTTGGACCAGCCGCTCGATCGCCAAAACCCCAACCGCCGCTGGTCCTGCGGGCTGGAGCTATTTGTAGTGACGATATCAACGCCTGTTGGCGTCGTGGCTGCCCGCATCTGTTGTGAGGTGTCGTCATTCAGTGAAACAGAGCGTCAAAGATCAGTGGATGATCACGTTGAGTGATCAGTGATCGAGCATTAGTCACACCGGGCGAACTGTTCGGAATGGCGGAGACCTCAACGGGGGCTGGCATGTAACACGCTACAACACGAATGCGATGCAGAGTGATGAAACAGCGTAAACAAACGATAATATTACAACTAATGACATGATAAAAGGGTATGTTTACAGCATGTGAGAGCTTTTTCGCTCGGCTCAGTGAGTTATAAGTCACCCGACCAAGTCTTCGTGCTGATGCAATATTCACGAACACGTGACGGACGAGAATGGTTCGCAAATGATTGCATTGCAGGCGCAGTGTACAGTGCATAGATCCGAAATGATGCAGTACGGGAACAATCAGCGTTGGTGAGGTAATCAAGTCAGGAGAGTCAGAAGAAGAGAGAAGAGAAGTCAGAAGAGAGACGGTCTGATGTTGGCTGACAAGTGGCATGGCTAGTAAAAAAACGGCTGGTGAAGCCGGTGACTAGCTAGTACAGGCAATTGGCAGTTTGATTAAGACGGTTGACAGATCATTAGGTATATAAATTCTTCAGCTAATAGACCAGCTCCTGTAGAATAGTTTAAGTTATTGGTGAAGGGTCAGTAAATTGCACGGTGTCTGGTCGGTAAAGACGGTTTGACTGGTCATTCTGTAAAAACCTAACAGGTCAGTGCCGGCACTGACTGACTAACCATTGTCTGACTCACTCTGACACTGACACCGGGTGTCGACCCCTGTGTCTGACACTGACACCGGGTGTCGACCCCCGTGTCTGACACTGACACCGGGGCCGACCACCCACACCCCGGCCGGCCGGGTGACAGGTGACAGCTCAGAGCTCAGGCCCTGTGACATTGCTAGTGACGGATGGATATTGGACTGTTCAGTGTTCGGGTTCGACCGAGTTTTTAATCATACCGAAGGCGCAGAGTATGATGAACTATGAAGTACATGAAAATAAACATGTATAGAAAATACATGCATTTTGTAATCAAAGTGATGAATTGGTCTTATAGATACTAAATCGGAGTCGTTACGTCTCGAATGCCTATTTCTAATGATAAGTATCTATGCAATGAGCGATGGAATGAGGAGAGATGGAAACATAGAGGACAAACATCAGATAAAGACTGGTAATGATTAAATGATAAGTAGTTATGTGAGCCCGGCCGTGATTTATCAGACCGTTCTCGTTATGGATATCTAACACGCAACATACTCGGTGATCAGACATGAGAGGAGACTAGGGCCGTGGGACAATCACGATGCACTGCACCGTTCACTCTGCCTCTTGGGGAGTCATACAGGGGAGGGAGGGGTTCAGGCCAGCTAGACAGTCACGATGCCGAGCTCTCCACCCCGTTCTGCCCCCTCCTTCAGTCGAGCCCCCAACATATGGTGCCAGTACCTGACCTTCGGCTTACAGGGCGAAAGGAGCCCTGTTCAAGGCCAAAGTCATGGTCTCATATCAGACAAAAAATGTAATTACCGGCAGTGGAGAGGATTATGAGTTGTTAATGAGATTTCATGGCATAACACCCAATGTCTGTTACCACACAGTAGCAAGACATTATTTGTCATAATTACGCGACCTTCTTACAGCACTTTGCTGTTGCATTGCGTATCTAATTAGCATTTTGTAACGCTGTCTCCACAGTTCAATGCACTTTATGTGCACCAGTGAGACCTGCACACAGAAAAATATTAACACCGTTAGCGGTGTAATTGCACAGTACATATCTGAGCACTTGAGGAAAGTTAATTTAGTCCCTTCCCCGCTTAAATTACTCGCGCTTCCAAATGAACACCAGGAAGAAGGTAATAGAACACTGTTAGGAGGGTTGGGTGTTTTGCTACATGTAGTAAAACAGCCAACCCTCCTAACAGTGTTCTATTACCTACCTTCTTTCTGGTGTTCATTTGGAAGCGCGAGTAATTTAAGCGGGGAAGGGACTAAATAAACTTTCCTCAAGTGCTCAGATATGCACTGTAAAAAATATTGACGAGCTATGTGTCAAAACAAGGGTCTCGAAACAGTCACCAGGTTGTCAATGCTTCCGGTACCTACCACTTGACCAGTTACCGCTTAGTTAGCTTACAGGCTGAGAACTATCCAGATCGTTATGATCCGGTATTGTAATGATACCCTAGGTGTACCTTTGTTTTGAAGTGCTGAATTAACTATCAAGGTTGTTTGACGTTTGTTTTCGCCTCAATCCGAAACGAGGAAGACCCTCATCAAATTATTAGGTGAAAGCCAGCCTCAGGATGATCAAAATACTAGGGGTAGTTTTGTCATAGTAATCTGTGAAGGGTGAGGAACAAGCCGTAGCAATGCACTCGCCACTAAACCAGCCTGAGATTATTCGCCAGGTAGCTGCTGCGTTTCCCTACTTGCTGAATCATGTTAGCAACTTTCCATTTCCAGACACTTTTTACGGCAAATAAATTGTTGGGTTATTTGGAAGGTGAATGACAATTTTATTTCTATAAGTCAATACATTTGTATTTCCGATTGCCCTAAAACTTTTTTTTAATCGTTTGCGGTAGGTTTTTATTGTTCGCAATAAAGTTGCGCACCTGTGAATCCTTCACATAATGCGTTCCCGGCTTCCCGGCGCCAGTTGCGCTGTGCCGTGCCGCGTTCGGTCGGGGGTGCGAGCGTCTGTGAAGTGCGAGTGTTTATCACTGGTCAAACCTGTATCATTTCCATTTGTGCAGTGTCTAGTTATGAAGAATTGCTTGCCGATATATGACCTGCAGTGATCGACGTTCTGATTCAATACCTTGCCATAAGCCATTATTCTCAACCAAATCGCGCAGAGACGTTTGTAAAGTTGTCGAGGGGGGGGGGGAACAAGAGCGATTTTAAATGAATTGCTCTCCATGCAGTGCAATAGGACTTAGGTTTAATTTTTCGAAAGTTGTGGAGCCGCCCCCGGTGTCCGGCCTGGCCAACTCTCTCAAGAACCGACAGCTAACGGAACACTGAAGTTTCACTACGACGATTTCCGCCAAATTTATGAAGAAAAGGCAAGTGCAAGAAGTACAAAACTTCTCTTGGTAATCAAAACTTAGGTTTGGCAAGGCAAATTCCAAACCCTAAGTCACTACAACTGTGGATATAAATAAGCTGGTTATTGACGGCCAAGCTCTGGCCAATCTGAGGTTCAGAGCTATCATCAAGTTCATGAGGCAGCTGCGGTTGGGTGGCTCACGGGCTCCATTGCATAGGCTCAGACAGGTACTCTACAAAATGTCTTCTGTGTTCTTAGGTTCAGATCTATCGATAGGTATGTGCATGCTTCTGATTCGATTGATAACTGTAAACGGGCGCTGGAAGTGAAAGGTTCGCTTGATATACGAAAGGTGCATTGCAAGAAAGCACATTATTTCAGAAATACACTTTCATTTTATCTTGAGCGTTTTTGGAATGGGCCGGATGAATTCGTCATCAAACTGGTAAGGGATTTCGTTTGAAGACCACCGATATTTAATATTATGATGGTCTTCAAACGAATTTGCTGGCAAATTCGATGACTGGATTGGGCGGCGTAGGATCTGCTGGTCAACTGACTATGGGTTGATTAGGGCCTAGTTGGGCCCCTAGTTTTGACCTAGTTTGAGCTTCATTCGTTAAGTAGGAACAAGACGATGCTTCTTTTGACCATCGTCACTAAACAAGCCGCCCTCGTTTTGACATTGTTTTTCGTTATTATTGTTACTAGGTACTTTGTTATCATACACAGCATTAACGAGGACCTGCTTCCAAAACAAGGCAGAAACGCTCCAGATATTTTTGGGACGTGGTAAAAACTAACCGACACCTGGTAACTGTCATCTGACAAACACAAAACAAGCCAGGGGCTCGCAGCGTGTGTCAAAAGTAGGATGCAAAACTAGTCTGTACCCCCGACATTTAGCGTTGAGAATCATTTGACGAGGGGCTAGTCAATATTTTTTACAGTGTGTACTGTGCAATTACACCGCTAACGGTGTCAATATTTTTCTGTGTGTGAAACACGGTCTGATTTGAATATTGTGTCAATGAAATCATGTTCATATAGTACAACTTTGTAAAAGTAATTTACGTTTGTAAGAAGTTAAGCAGACAATCAATGTTCACGACAACTTTGGATATTTTGCCGCTGCTTATATATATCAAAGTAGAAAATATTTTCTGATGTAGTAGCACAAATATCAAACTACACAGAAGAGAATCAGTGTCACAACTTCGAAAGGAAATGACATTGTTCTATCTGTCCACGATACCGACCACGAGCAGCATTTTTCCTGAACTGTCATAGAGTAATGCAGCCAATTTTTCCTACATTTCTGCGTTCTTTGACGAGCTTTGCGCCTTTCCCCTCTATTTCTCGTTGTTTTATCTGCCTATTTTCCTGGGCGTTGTTCCCATGTTGGCTGGGCCCGTCCGATATCCCCACGGTGACCTATATAATCCAATCAAGGTCTCTGGCTCACCACGCCCACCTCAGGCCACCGACAGACCCCGAGGGACCCATAGCGGCGCAGTAGGGGGACAGGCGTGCAGGCGACAGAGTACTGCACCGTTAGAACGTGCATAGAGCCCCAACGGTCCAGACAGCAGTCCCAAAGAAGCACAGCTTGTTTCACATGATCGGTTTGTTATTATTTTAATCCAAAAATAGGAGACCTTTGTTCCGTCATAGATAGCTCAGAATATTTGATGTGATAGGTCATTGCTGTAACGTCATTGCTGATCTACATGTGTGTAAATGGTCATTGTATATCAAGTAAAAGGCTCTCTCAATGGAGCAATGTGGCTTTAATTTTTGACATGTATCCAATGGCCTCTCATTAGTTTTGTTTGATATTGCTCTCGTGCTTCTAGCTTTCCGACGTTCGCAAGAGTTTCGGCTTGAATTGTATTTGATATATATGATAACAGCACTTGAAAGTAAAATCGACCTCTACCGCGAAGTAGACCGTGAACCATGGGCCGTAAAGTGACCTCTGTAATGTAACCTTTGTATGTACCCATAACAACCAGCTGCTTCGTCCTTCTTCTTTCGTTACCTCTGTACTGATGATGACGCCCTGCCATGTCCTGTGGTGACGACCGAATGAACATCCACTGTAACCGATGTCACCCCGCTGTGTTGTCCTCAGGTTGATGGTCAACCTGAAGCGAGGCCAGCTGCTGCCCTTCAAGGGGTTCTTTGTTCAGGCTCGAAGGGTACGAGACCCGAATCTGCCGGCGGTTGGACGCTTCTACACCAAGCAGCACGCCCTTGTTCGCTGTGGATCCACTCTAGCCGTGAGTAGAACGTCCGCAGTCCATCATAGGTCGGATAGGTAGCAGAGGGTCCACTCCGGCCATGAATACAACGTCCGCAGTCTACCATGGGCCGGATAGGTAGCAGAGGGTCCACGCCGGGCATGAACATATCAGGGGGAGAGGGCTGACCGTCAGGGGCAAGGGGAGACCACTGATTCTGAGAAACGTGGGAGGATATCATGCGTTATGACAGAATTAGAAGGGGTGAGTGGGCGGCTGGCTTTGGTGGGAATGATTGTCTCGCCAGCTCGTTGGAGCGATAGGTATGGTCCGAACCCCCTTCACATCGGTCACCTGTCCTAGAATGCTCAGAGGGAGGGCAGCTGTGACGTCGTTCTGAATTAGTCATGTGACACCCCGCTCTGTATGTAGCTCAGTTGCAAAAGCATCTTGCCCCCGGCACGATGGTTTAGAACCCGGATTCGAGTCGCTATATGGCGATTGATTTAGGAGATGTCGTAGACAGGAAGAGAAAGAAGAGGGTGCTTGGAATGGATGAAAGGAGAAAGGTGTAGGGAGGGAGGCCGGGATTTTGACGTCACCCTTAGCGCTGTCACGTGTCAGGAGCGACTGCCCCGGGTTGTGAGTCACCCGGATCAAGTGTCCGGGTGCCGGCCGGTGCGGTAAAGGGGAAAGGTCACCAGCGACCACTCATTGGCCTGCGGTGTCGGTGGACTGGGGTGGCCGGCTTTAGCGCCCGGTATTAGAGACAGATGCCTTCTACTTTGCGTTATGTTTCGATGGAACATCTGAAAAATTTAATTATGAACTTTGGTGTACCGTATTATTCATAAGAGCAAAGCGATGGCGTTATGCTCATTTGTATTAAAATAGTGCGATCTACATAGGTGATTCAATCACAAGTTTATTCGAATTTCACATTTTCCCTAAATTTATTCCAATAAATCTGTAAATTAAACCAATTCATCCTCAGTTTACCGGCTCCCTCACCATACCTCGTTCTGTATTTGGCAGAGTTCGATCACACACGCGGACGGCAAGCCGAAGGACGAGGTGACGCTACTCTGGGAGTCGCCGGACGACCTGGACGAGGACGTAGAGTTCCGCGTCACTATGGTGCAGAACTTCCAGACGTTCTGGGTGGGCGGTCGCTCGGAGCCGGTTCGGGTCAGTGCCAGCGGCCGCGAGCCGCCGCAGCCGGCCGCCGCCGCCGCCGCCGCCGCCCCCGCCCCGGCCGCCACCACCGCCGCCCCAGAACCGGAGGAAGACGAGGAGCACGACATGACCGATATTCTGGTCGGGGTGAGTAAATGTATGTATGTATGTATGCATTGATCTATAATCCATCCACTGAACATGGTTTTTCAGGACTAGCGTCTTATACAGAGAAGAAGAACGGCAGGGCAGGAATAAAATGAGACGACAGCAGTTGATCATGAGCGAGGCGGGATACAAGTGAAGTACAATGGATGAAATAATACAATAAAAATACACCGTACGAACTATGATAAACTAGAACGTTGGGAGGGTAAAAGGGTGATACAAGTTTACTTAAACACCGGAATAAAACAATGCACACCAAAATCTAAGGCATCGCAGTGTGTAAATGCGTCCGCACGTTAGATGATAGATGCAAAGCATAGCTGTCATTTGCTCCAATGAACGAGCTACAGCCAAAGCTTTAAGCTACAGTCGGAACTTGGTTTACCTCCTTGTTAGAGACCAAGCTGTTCAAATGATTTGCTTTCATCCCCCACCATATCATATTTCCTTTGTCATGCCTTGTTCACGTAAATGGCGGTCTTAGGCATCAATCTTTTTTTTTTAGTACCTACGCTCTGTTTATTTGACCGAGCGCCGATCCCAGCAGTCTACCTGTGCTGACAACATCTGTCTGCTGCGCCCCGAAACTCCAGTAACTGAAAGCTCACATCAAACCAGGAAACTGAACACCGTATTATCTGCACATGGCATACCAGTCGCGCGAGCGAACTTCAGATCCGTTCCTGTCTGACTCGTGCTGGGCGCTGGAAACCATTTACCTCGATTTTATCTGCTCGGCGATCGGTGGCCAGACACGGTATGGTATCCATGTGGTGAAATAGAATTGTTCTCATTCACGCTCCATCTAAAAATGCAGCGGTACTTTTTAGGCGCCGTTTGTTTTCTATAACTTCATCATTTACACTGATATAGGTTTGTTGGCGTATTTACGACACATATCCATCAGTCTTTCTACATTATAACCATCGGCATCTTTTGTCTGTTTTTTCTTCTTTGGAAGGTTACTTGTATTGCCTTAGGCCTGGACTCCACACTAAGAATTGCATTGGCTTCGAATGTCTCCATGGATATACCAGCTGAAAGTATCCGTGCACTGGGTCTGCGATATAAACTGAAATCGGACTTTAGACATACGCATGTTTGCACGAGTGGCATAATAAACATGTGCGTCCCTCTAGTCTCAGACCTTGTTCACTACGGCCATATCATGATGTTTGAGATTAGAGATGTCAATCGGATACCAACTTTTTGGTATACCGATACCAAACCAATACCAACTTGGTATTTGGTATTTCAATATCCTAATGTTTTTGGTATTTTATTGGTATGAAGAACACTCCCCAATGAGAGACTGAGAGTTAAGTAAAAAGTTGGTATTACTTGTCTTATTGCCGAGTTGGTTCGATTTCGGTATGTTCCCATGGCTTTGGTTGGTAGGTATTTGGTTTGGTATCGGTATTCCGATTTTCTGCAATTGACATCACTATTTGAGATAGTCGTTTTACCCACTACATGGGCCACATAAAAATAGGTGCCTTGTCCACATCGATCATTTTTATGCTTTAATGAAAAGCTGCCCAAATTATTTTACTATTTGATATATTCGTACATTCTGCAATGTGTGCATTGAATGTGCATCTGGATTCAATGCACTCATGCATGAATTCGATAAGACCAATTTATTTTTAAAACATTCATCACAATTCAGAACCTTCATTTTAACGTTTTGATCCAGGCCTTTGTTTGGCTCTCAACACCTTTCTACTGACATATATCATAATTTATCCCTGTCATAGCCCCAAGTTTCCTCACATAGGTACTCACATAGGGACGGTACTTGCATACCGTCCCTATTCCGAACTGGATGTGCAAACATGTGGGATTCTGTCCCACCAGCCTCGTATCAAACGACGCTGTGTCGCCTCTTTCACTGGGCTGCCGGCTCACCACGTCACCGCAGTTTTCCCACGAGCACTTACCCGATCACAGACGGTTGCTCAAACCCACCGGCCACCGCTCTCTTTCCCTGTACAACTGGCGACTATTTCCGCAATTTCACCGCGATATGATGTTTCCGTTGTGTCCGACAATGCAGTGTTCATGTATGTCGTTGATCATGCTTCTGAAGAACATTTACTTGAAAGTCTGGTCTCAGACTGGAATGTCGTGGTACTCGATGCTCAAATGTGTGGAAGGTGAGTTGATGGTCCCATCCCATCCCATGATGGCTCAGTGCTCACAATGTGGTGACTCCAGATTGCTCCTCTGTTTCAGTCTCGGCGAAAACGGCCTGGACGGACCACCACAGAGGCACCCTGCACAGAGGTAAGGGACCAAACGGGTGCCGATTTTTTGCAGGGGGCTGACTGCTGACAGCTCAACTGATCAACGATCACCGAACGTTGACCTTTGGCAGGCCGCTAACCAGTAACCACTGATATCGAAATGCTGGTTATCGAGTTGGTGGTGTACTCAATAGTAGGCGCTTTTGGGGACAAACTCTTACCGCAGACAGATACTGCATTAGAGGACGACCACCGAATGCCATAGTAGGCCAGTCGTTATATCCATTGGTCTCTGACCAATGACCATTAGCTGCTGGCCCGTTTCATGGATACATACTGCTGAAATAGGTGGAACCTGGAAATGCATATGAAAAGGAAAGAAGTTAGATTACATAAGATGCATGAATATTACCGTCTCAACCAACATACGTAAATACGTTTTACCTATGTGTGATCAAACGGGGAAATCATGCCAAAGAACAGCGCCCGGAACTTCTGGAAAACGCCTAGATCTCACCTATGTTCCTGTTGTAGACATGCAACTTTAGCTGAATCAAGCGTCTCGACTGTGCATGTGACGATAATATGAAATTGTGGAGCGCAGAGGGCTGTGGCGTATTACAATCGTTATACTTTCACTTCACAGCGTCGGCATATGAATGCTACATGGTGTGGGAGCAGCCGTGGCCAGCCTTCGGTCAGTCATTAGACAGTGGCTACTGCTAGTTTTTTATATTGGTTCTGGCCATGTATTCACGAGTGTGTCTCTGTCTGCGTGGAGTCGACCTATCATCGATCTCAAATTCAGCCTAACAAGTTTGTTTGGTTTACCTTTCGTGAATCTGGTGACGCTTCTAAGAACCCACCGGCTTCGAATCGGTACTACGAGTATGTAGCAACTCCCGCCGATAAGTCATTTCTTATGCGGCTCGGTGCACTATTTGTTGCTAAATACCTATCGTTTGTCGATTTGTACCTAACGTATCGTGTCGTATCGTACATATCGTAGAATGTAGATTGCTGTTATTTTCCAGGTAATTCTCTTCATTATGGCAGCAAGGGCACCCAACTCAGGAGCTCAATGTAGCGTTAACACTTCAACTGAGTCGCTTCCCACAGGATTGTTGGGAGCCAACCACCGCAGCCTCCTACCAGTTGTAATACAATTAGTATGATTTACTTCATTTACTGACTTACTTTCTGATCCACTCCACAGAACTGCGAGCAGCCCACCACCTCAGCCGCCCTGTCCAGTCGGAGCGGCATCGGCTCCGTGTTCGACGACTGCCTGCTCAGCAAGGGCTGCTTCGCGCGCACTGCCGGCTGCATTCAGGAGCGCAACTGCGATCTGATGGTGACGTACCGGCGACTGCGCAGCGGCCAGTTCCGAATGCAGCTGTTCGGACGCTACCAGCCGGGACGGTACCTGGCCGTGGGACTGTCCGACGATAGAGCAATGGTGAGTGTCCAGTGTCCACTGTCTGTTATACCAGCCGGGACGGTACCTGGCCGTGGGACTGTCCGACGATAGGGCAATGGTGAGTGTCCACTGTCCACTGTCCGTTATACCAGCCGGGACGGTACCTGGCCGTGGGACTCTCCGACGATAGAGCAATGGTGAGTGTCCACTGTCCGACGACAGAGCAATGGTGAGTGTCCACTGTCCGACGATAGAGCAATGGTGAGTGTCCACTGTCCGACGACAGAGCAATGGTGAGTGTCCACTGTCCGACGATAGAGCAATGGTGAGTGTCCACTGTCCGACGATAGAGCAATGGTGAGTGTCCACTGTCCGACGATAGAGCAATGGTGAGTGTTCACTGTCCGACAATAGAGCAATGGTGAGTGTCCAGCCTGTCCACCACCAGCCGGGACGGTACCTGGCGGTGGGACTGTCCGACGATAGAGCAATGGTGAGTGTCCACTGTCCGACGATAGAGCAATGGTGAGTGTCCACTGTCCGACGACAGAGCAATGGTGAGTGTCCACTGTCCGACGATAGAGCAATGGTGAGTGTCCACTGTCCGACGACAGAGCAATGGTGAGTGTCCACTGTCCGACGATAGAGCAATGGTGAGTGTCCACTGTCCGACGACAGAGCAATGGTGAGTGTCCACTGTCCGACGATAGAGCAATGGTGAGTGTCCACTGTCCGACGATAGAGCAATGGTGAGTGTCCACTGTCCGACGATAGAGCAATGGTGAGTGTCCACTGTCCGACGATAGAGCAATGGTGAGTGTCCACTGTCCGACGGCGGGGCAATGATGAGTGTCCACTGTACGATTACAGGGCAATGGCGAGTGTCTTAGGCGGTCTACCGGAGAACAACCGTAGGTGTCCTCCAGAAAGGATATGTTGCCAGTCCTCGGATAGGGCAACGGTAACTAGTGTTTGTCTAGCTGTTGAGATATTTATAGTGAAGCCAGTGCGGGAGGGGAGGAGTTAGTGCTCGCTGGGCTATATGTAGGAGTGTCCCCCCGACCGTTGACGGGGTTGTGGCGATTGTCCGGCCGGTTCGTAGTCACGATGGTTGCCGTGAGTGTCGTGAAGACGGCGGTGACAATGGCGATATCACGCGGCGGCTCTAATCGTGAGTTCACGGTTCCCGGAAGGATGATACCATCTCACGGAGATCGTTAGGGGAGAGAAGGTGATAAGGAGAAACGAAACAATTGGAGGGCATCCACTGCCGGGATTTCTGGCCCATTTGGGTCAAGGATTATTTTTACTTGATTATTTTTGTCTTACCTGCACTGGAAAGTATTTGTGAGCATCGTATACTTTTATTGTAAGTTTTACCACATTCGATATCTTTACTTCATATTGCTTTTGACGCTTTTCGGTACCATACATGTAAATGATGTCGTCAAAGATCGACGTTCAGCTTCTGCTTACATTTTGATCGATTTTTTTTTATCAAGTGTTTTATTTATATAGAATCGTTCGAAGTTGTGGTGCAGGGTTGCTGTTTACTCATGACCATTGAACTTCGCCTCACAATCCCTCCGGGCTCCATCCCGGTCGTTTCGTGCCGTCTCACCTAGAGACAGGTGTGGGAACGTTCCAACGAACGGACGAACGGTCTGAGACGACCTTCAGGCAGTGCGCCCAGCTCCCCTGTTCCCTCTCGGCTCTACCGGCTCTATTTGATCGCTGCCTCTTTCACTTCTTCCCTGTCTGACTCGCGTGCCATCAGCCACAGATCTTGATTATTTTTAACGGTTGCTTATTTTTATGCAACAAAGGTCTGAGCTGAAACCATGTTCCTCACCATATCCTGGCAACAAAAAAGTTCGTAACTGCTTCTAACTGCTGGTGGATTTTTATACTGTCATGAAATAATTTTAAACATAAGCCTTTCGCCTCGCTTCGGAGGCTCCTGTTTTTTTCCTGTTCGAATCAGCCCACCAGATTAAGAAACGCCCCATCCCATTTTCGGCTCGGGCTGGACAGGAAGTGCTCAGCTGGGTCACGTGATCTGCAGTCTCGTGACGGTGCTTGTGTGGGGTGCCGCGTCCTCTCCTTACCTGGGGGTGGTGTGTGTTTTGTGAGAGCGACTGCCTCTGCTGCCGCTGGCCTCGGGAAATCCGCCGGCCTTCGTGGGCCGCACAGCTGTGTCCACTTCACGCGCTGCCCTCTCGTTATTTGGAGACTCTTGGAGGCAATTAAAAGATGCTTGCAGGGAAACTTTGATACGACACTTTTGTTCATGCTGTCGTTAGATTGAAACCTGATTTGAATTACGAGTTTGTACTCGTAAGTTTTGTAATTGTCAGTGTACGCTTTGTTCTTTTTTAGGTAGTGTTCAGATGAGCTTGTTGCGAGCTTGTTAACCTGAATATTGCCTTTGTATCGTTTTCCAGGGAGATGATGCTGTTATTTATTGCGCCAGTACGAACGACGGACGGTTCCAGATTCTGCACGCCTACAACTTCGGACACGAGTCTTCCATTCCCATACGGGCCTCCTCAAAAGTGAGTTCTCTGCGAATGAGGCTGTTCTATCTTTGTTTCAGCTGCCAGTGTTGTGTGGACAGTAATATCCTTCGTGCCTAGTTGCCGTCTTGATATAGCACATGTTGACGGTAGGGTGGTTCTAGACCATCTCTTAATCGGAGAGGCGTGATATTTGACCGTATCGTCTCGATAAAGTGGGACTTGGGAAAATGACGAATGCCCACTTCTCACTTTAATTAATAAGGAGTTTTGTAGCATTGCGGACCGTGTTATATCTTTCTTTCGACTCGAGAAACTGTGTGAGCAGTTGCACTTGCCAGCGATAAGTGCTGCTGTGTATTTCCTGCCTGGTGTGCCCCCCCCCCCCCTAACTGCACCGTGTGACTCGCCCCCCCGCAGGAGGGACCGCTGGTCAGTGACGTCACCAGCCAATACCGGGACGGCCTGCTGATCTGCGAGTTTACCCACTCGGCCCGCTTCACCATCCGTGGCCAGGACTTTGACTTGGGCAAGGACGGCCTACACCTGATGATAGCCTCCGGAACCACCTCTGGTAAGACGTCACCACGGTCACTCATCGGTATCGGTGGTGTGGTGCTGAGCTCTGGTGATTGATTATTCATGCCGGTAATTGGTGACTTAGATCAATTACATTTTTGGTGAATTTAGTGAACCTTAGCATCTCGTAGGTATCAGCCGGGTACAACATTATATCAAGATTAGGATAGCCGTGAGCTAGATGACAAATTGTTCGATCTCTCAGTCGTCGTTCCAAACGCCATTTAGCCTGACTCCTGGCGCTGGTCAATCTCCTCCGTTAACCCGCGCCCCAGTGGCGGTCTCGGCCAACTTCGCCCTAGTGAGGGGGGGCATATGTTACCACCCACCTCTAACTCAAAAACTAAGAGGGCTAGAAAGACGCGGTAAAAAGCAGTCGATAGCTCTCAATGCGTACATTTGAAAGTATTTCGGTCATTTTTCACCTTAGAGCAATATTGGGGTCACCAGAGGTCATCAAAGGTCAAAATTTGCCAATTGTCATTATATTTTTCAGAAAACATGCCGCTATCTCCGGAACTATGGTAGCTAGAAAAACGCATGGAACAGCAAACGATAGCTTGTGAACTCTTCTTTTGAAAAGGTCATAATCAATATTGACCTCAGGTCAACGGTTTAGCCTCCAGAGGGCAAAAACTCCAAAAATAGCTGTTTTTACGAAAAGTGTTTTTCGACAATAACTTTCGACTACAAAAAGCCACGACATTTCTATTGCCAGAATCGTGTTCCTCTCGCCGAGACGCGTCGAATGAACTATAATTTGACCTTGAAAGGTCAACTTGAAAATTTGACCTCAGGTCAAGGTCATGACCTGACCGGAAAAGGTCATGTTACATATCAGTCGATGCGTCTCAACAAGACAAACACAATGAGACCATCCCCAGCGTTCTATCTCGTTCCAATCGCGAGTTATTGGCAAAACACTGTTTGTAGCCTCAAGTGACCTCGGATGACCTGTCTAGAGGCTATCAGCAAAAATGACACCTTGGTCATCACGAGTGGACTAAATCATTGTGAGTCTGAAATATTTGGACTGTTCCGATGCGTACACACGGATCTAGAGGCATTTTCATTTTTCTCCATTGACTTGTAATGGTAAGGTCACGCCACTGACCTGACCTTAGGTCACGGATATAAAAAATCCGAGATATACAAATTGTAGGCGCCCATAACAGCATGCAATCCTACACGTTTAAAACCTTTCTGACAAACACTGCAGGCTGGACATGATTGCAAACTTTTTTTTTTGGCTTGGTCATTAACTTGACCTGGTGACCTGACCTGACATGACCTGGGGTCAAAAATTTCACACATTGTCCAAAATTGATGTACCAAAAGCTACCCCAAGCGGCGCGGCGCTACGCGCCGCGGTTTTTATTCACACGCAAAAAACGCGACAGGGTGGTAACATATCCCCCCCCCCCCCACTGGGGCGAAGGTGAACTTTAAGCTCCCTCTGAGGACACTCCCACCTGACCCTCTCTTCTCTTCCCCAGCGGACGTGGAGCGTCGGCCGCAGTACCACTTGGGCACCAAGCGAGTGACGGGCGCGCCCGTACCCCTCTCCTCGAGCGCGGGCGGCGCGCGGGTCTACGGCGCTGCTTCCGACTCGGGCACTCTGTACCGCGCCCACGGGGCACTCATGATAGTCGCCTGGCTTGGCACCGCCAGCCTGGGCATGATGCTGGCGCGCTACTTCAAACAGACCTGGGTGGGCCGAAAGGTGGCCGGCCTGGACCTGTGGTTCGTGGCGCACCGTAACCTGATGGTACTGACGGTGCTGTGCAGTCTGGCTGGCCTGGTGTGTATTCTGGTTCAACTGGAGGGCTGGACAAGTACACCGACCAGTGTGAACCCGCATCCACTGTTGGGAATCATCTGCATCGGTGAGAGAAGAGAGAGAGGGAGGGAGGGAGGGAGGGAGGGAGGGAGGGAGGGAGGGAGGGAGAGAGAGATAGAGAGAGAGAGGAGGAGAGAGAGATAGAGATAGAGAGAGAGAGAGAGAGAGAGAGAGAGAGAGAGAGAGAGAGAGAGAGAGAGAGAGAGAGAGAGAGAGAGAGAGAGAGAGAGAGAGAGAGAGAGAGAGAGAGAGAGAGAGAGAGAGAGAGAGAGAGAGAGAGAGAGAGAGAGAGAGAGAGAGAGAGGGAGATTGGGGGAAGGAGCGGGTAGCGAAACATAAATGTTAGGAGAAAGGTACAAAGGAGGGAGGAAGAAAACTCCCGGCAGAGATGAAGAGATGAGGATAGGGAAAGCATGAGAGACGAATGAGTTCGCCGAGGCACAATCACGTATCAAATTCAACAGGATATAGCTTTGTTGAACAACGCGGAAAATATTTCATTTTCCTTCCCTTGCACCGTGCACTGTGCTGATTTGGCTCTCTAACGTTCTCCCTCCGCTCCAGCGTTGGCGTTCGTCCAGCCGTTCATGGCACTATTCCGGTGTGCCCCGACGGCCTCCCGTCGGCCCGTCTTCAACTGGCTCCACTGGCTAGTGGGTTCGGCCGCCCATCTGCTCGGCATCATCACCATCTTCCTGGCGGTGACGCTGCCGGCCGCCCAGCTGCCCTTCTGGACGTACTGGGTGCTGGCCGCCTTCGTGGTGATGCACGTGGTAACCCACCTGGTGCTCTCGGTACGTCATAGCAGTGACGGGGTGGAGAAAGATAGAGGGCGGTAAAACATAGACATACCTAACACTGCCATATCCGGAATCCGGATACTATCTCGATTTGGTGCCTACGTCATTGTGCTGTTCTGCATAAAGGCTTTCCTGGAGGCTGATGCCCCTGCGGAAACTTTTACTAATTTATCACGATCTGAAGGCTTATCGCCCTTCCCTGTGTTTTCTTACCAACTCGTCACAGTTCACTATGACATTGCCCACTGACTGACCCTGTATGACATTTCAGACGCAGCAGTGCGCGGCGGACCGAGCCGCCCGTCAGAAGAACACCTCTGAGGCCTACAGCATGCGAGACATGGGCGCTAACGGCGTCAAAGGAGGCCCTTCCGGCGCGCAAGGAGACGCTCAGGTGAGGACCGGTCACTGGAGGTGGTCACACATTGGGTTAGAATGGAATGGAGGGTGTTCTTTAGTTTGACCACGCTTGGCCTGCGCGCTTATGACAGCGAGCGCCTGAATTTATGCTGTGCCGCACGGCTCAAAGTTTGATGCTTCTCTCAATAGATGGTGCTACTGATAAGCGCCTGAAGGTATACTGTGCCGCACGACATGAGTTGATATTCATGTTCAGAGATGGCGCCACTGTCGTCGCCCTTTCGCAAGGTGTAACGCACGTTAGTCACTGGGTCTTTGTCCCCGTTGTCAGATTTATCATCATATCCTTAATCCTGAGTCTTGAAAGTTTTGTTGACGGATGCGCCCTTTCAACAAACCTCTGCGCCACCGTCCACCACCGTGCAACCCATCCCTTGACTGACACTGACTGCTGCGCCGCTCGGCAGGGCTCGACGCTCCGCCGGCTGGTGCTGGCCGTCTACACGCTGGCCACGCTGACAGTGGTGATTCTACTGGTGGTGATGGTGACACTGGCTCCGGCCGACGCCTGGGGGCAGAGCTAGACGCGGCACCACATCCAGCGCGTCCTGAGGGCAGCTGAGAAAGAAGAGAGGTTTGGAGAGATAGGCCAAAGACAAGATGGACGGGGAAGGTGTACAAACCATCCGCTGCCGTAAGAGAGAGAGTATAACGCGGGTGCGAGACAATTTTACACCAGTCAGCAGGGTAGGCGGTGTGGATGAGTTTTTAAGGATTTTAGGCCGTATTTCAGAGTTCTGCGATGTTATGTAGAATGTCGGACCATGAGAGACCAGCTGCCGGAGGACTGCCGAGCTTTGTGAGTCCGCTGTGACGTGTCTTGATCGCGGATAGGGCGTCAATTTGCGGTGTTCTGAACGGTCTCATCAGGTGTGAGCGTTTCCAATGTGAGAGCAGTGAGTCGGAGTGTTGCGAGTTAGAGTGCTAGGATTTGGCGCCGAAATGTAGCAAGTTTTATACGGAGAGCGCCGGAGTGCGGGAGACGGCGAGAGCTTCCCGCGCCGCGAGGAAAGAGGCCGGGCAGGCTGCGCCGCTCCCGAGCTGGCATTGAAGTATTGTTCTGTAACGAGTGTGTCGCGGATGAATACAGTATCGAGAGCTTTTCCAGAGAGTTTGAAAATTGCACCATACCTTCCGCAATCTTATCAGCACCCTGACGGCTACACGTCCTAACCTAGCAAGAATCTTACCAGCACCAGTTGATGCGTTGTCTTCATGCATTGCGAGAACTAAACGAAGCAAAGTCAGTTCCAAATCGTTTATTGTATTTACAACACTAAAACACCGCTCAGCTCACTCACTCAGCTCGTAGCCAGTAGCCTCCGCGGTCGGCCGGCCCTGGGGACCGACCGACAGCGCACTCTATTCCTCTCAGCACACACATCTGACCAAGACAGTGGCATCTGCCCGGCCGGCCGAACAGACCGCAATTCTAGAGCGCTGGCCAGTCCAGGGAAAAGCACTGCTGTCACACGCACAAGTACACACAAAGAGCACATACACACAGACAGAGCGCACGCTCGCATACACCTACACATATATCCACAATCATACCGACATCAAGTAGACCGCTGGTTGTGACATACCACACATGGAAAAGCGGCGAGCGATGCACCGCCCACACAAGCTAGCTCTGTCGGTCCAGCACATTGATACGTAAGGTGACCACTAGACTCATCTTCGGCGTTTGCTCAATTCTGACGCGATCTATTCAGCAAGTCCAGTCCAGTCCGCACGGAAAGGTTCCGTGAGCGAATCGGTTTCAGTCACTGCGGGTCAGAAAACTCTGTTCGGAGTCACTCAGCGTACTACTTCTGACAGTGGCACCGTTTGTCCGATACTCAAGCGTTCTTGTTCACTAAAGTGGCAATGTAGGGCCGTCATCTGGCACGGATAAGTTCCAGCTTGGCGGCCACGACTGTGGCACTGTAGGACAGATGGATGTCCGGTGATCGGGTGTGATGACTGACGGGCCAGCGCATAGTGAGGCCCGCGCAGCTCAGTGGAGCTTTGTCACCGGTATAACTGTCTTTGCGCCACAGTCATCAGCCCAGACATTGCCACAGTCACTGTCTTTGACACTGTCACAATCACTGATACTGCCACTATCATCACCGTCAGTGTCACTGAGGTGTCGCCACTGTCACTTTCCGCGGGTCTTATACCCCGGCCACACCAGTACCAGTCCTGGCAAAAGCGACTCTCAGTCCACCACGACCCTGGCTCGTCTGAAGCATTTCTAGGATGTCGAACATAATCCGATACTCATCGAACTAAATCACAGTTGTCTCCCAATTAACGTCTGTCGTTCGGAGCCTAGGTCAAATGCACTCATACGCCGACTGAGCGTACTAAGCGTACCACACCAGCGTGTCTTTCTCCGTACAGACACAAGCTGGTACTCGGAAACACTCCGTAGTGGAAAGTCCACGCCAGTGCAGACATGTCCTGCCCACCCAGCCGACAGACGGACGCGGCCGCAGCCGCCGAGCCGGCCCGGCAGCTCAGAGGTCGACTTCCCTCGCTCCCCGGGTGCGCGGGAGCTCAGTTCTGGGAGGCGTCGCCCTCCTGTTGCCGAGCCTTCTTGGCGGCTGCCTCGGCATCGGAACCGTCGGCCGACTCGGCCGCTCGGAGACCGCTCAGTCGGTAGTCGAGCGCGTTAAACAGCAGCTCGGCGTCCTTGGTGCTGCTCTGAAAACACCACAGAAACAGCAGTCAGACATTCCGTACGACGCAGGAGCAGAGCATGAAAAGTTACAATAGATGATTCAATAATCTCCCCGGACCATTTCTTACTTGTGAATTATGATTCGCTTCAGTTTCCGATCAATGTTCACGAAAAGCGATCCAGGCTTCTTCCTTTCGATCGGAAAATTTACCGTCGGTACTACCCTTCAAAAAGGGTTCATGTCGGGAAACTGATTCGATTAAAGGCATTCAGTCTGAGTCAGTTCACGTCAGCTTCATAATCTAACAAGCAGCAAGGCCGTCCTCATCAAACACTTCATGTCATCTAACTAAACCCAATACAGTGATCGACCCGGACGCTGATCTCTATCTCACCTTGATGAGGAAAACCTTGACCTGGTCGTTATCCATGGCAGTGACTCGCACGTCTTTCTCGCTGGGTTTCTCCACACTCATCGCCGGCCAGATCTAACAGAACAGGCACATGGTAGCGGTTAGTTGACAGTCAAAGGGAGCGGACCCAGTATAATTGGCAACCATAGCTGCAGTTCGGTGACAGTGGAAAAATGAAACATCGACAACACTGGTGTGTCGTCGATGTCACACCAGCTTGGGTAGCGCAGTCTAAGCATCTGGCTAGTGTACAAATTGTGTACATGAAATAGCAGCAAATATTTAGTGTCACTTGGGTTCGACTGTTAGGTATGAAACGGCAGCTGATTTTATCAATCTCCCACCACCCATCACGACCCAATTTGAACAAGTGCGGTAAACCCAATTTGGGGTAAACTACCAAACTACCCTACACTACGTAACTATAGTCCGTTTTTCTTAAGTTCGACCCTCACTGTAATCATCTCTTTGAACACAGCACGAGAATTGCTAGCTGAATTACTTAGAAAACTGGCTGGCGCACATTGATTTCACAGACGATTAATTTTACTCAAAAATATTTCTTCCTGGCTCTTATTTCCCAGACTCCTAGCTCGTATTTGCCTTTATATACAACCCCACAGGGATAGACATTTTGTCAGAAATTATAACTGAACTGATCAATAGATCGCACGGCGTTTAACAAAACGGAATATCATCGGTGTTTAAAACTTGTTTGGAAAATATTATTAATTTCTGCAGTACAATGTGCGCTAACCAGTTTTCTAAGTAATTCAGCTAGCAATTCTCGTGCTATGTTCAGAAAGATGTTTACAGTGAGGGTCGAACTTAGAAAAAACGAACTATACAAAAACTACCCCCAAATTGAGTTCACCGCACTAATTGTAAAAAAAAATGGGCCCATGTGTACATACCTTAGTGTTGAGCACCAGTCGCAGGCTGCCCTGTGTCCGGAAGACGAGTCGCGACTGCAGCGGTCCGCCCCCGCCGGCCTCCTCCCGTCGATCGTTGAGCCGCAGCAGACCACGGCCCCGCTCCAGCCACGAGCAGTTCTCCTTGTTGAACGCGTACAGTTTACAGTTGATCTGGAAAGGACACAGCCGGAGTCAGAGCAGCCGATAAGTCACAAAGTATCGATGTCTGTCAGGCCTATCTAAAAAGAGAGCCTTTTCCTAGTTGCAACCCAGGATGCACACATTTACTGAAAGAATGTAGCTACTAAAAACCAGCTTAGCAGGTCCAAAAGTGTGTAGATGTGACTGAAACTTGGTTACGTTGATAGCTCGAATAGGTTGTAAGCCAGCGACCAAACGCCATGCATTTATGCCTCCCGAATAAAACGGCCCAGCTCAGAGGATCCTTGACAGCTCTCGCTGGTCTTCGCACCACCACCACAGTCACCCACCTGGAGCACGTTGCTCTCTTCCTCCTCTCCGGTGACCACCTCCACCTCATCGTACTTCCGTTTGGAGGTGCGCTGCTTCTCATACACGGCCGCCGACTCGCGCAGACTGAGGCCGGCCGCCGGCTGCGACGGTGGCGCCGCCTGGTCGCCGGCCGGCTCGCCGGTGGCGCCCTCAGCCGGCGGCTCGTCGCCGGACGAGGAGACGGCAGAGGCCGGCTCGGCGGCGGCCGCTGCCGCGTTGGTCACGCGGTCCTCGAGGTTCTGACCGAACACGAAGCCGCCGCCGGCGCCCGAAGACGAGGAGATGGACCCCGACTCGGTCTCCTCAGAGCTGTGAGGGAGGGGGAAGTTAGGTTAGTCAGAAGGTAACTGAAGAGTTGCTCTGAACTACTTACCCGCACGGATTAACGCCGCAGTCGGGCGCACTGCCTGCAGAATCAGTAGAATCCACCTCGAGTAGAAGCAAAATATGTGATTAGTGCATTCCACGCCCTTCACCATCGCTGGACACCTCCCGAACCTACTATACGACTTCAGTGCAGTGAATCTATGATTAGGGCACCTTCTTTCCTTTCACCGTTGCTCGGCGGTCGACTGTAGCGTTTCCCCGCCGTCGCTCGGCGGTCCCAGACTCACATGGGGACTCCTGTCACTGGAAAGTGCGTCTGTGTGTAGAGCCCCTCCCTCCCCTCACCGTCGCTCGGCGGTTTCCGGACTGTGAAGTGCCACAGTGAGATGCGTCTGTGTGTAGTCGCACCGTCACGACTGCGGGGTTTCCCTCATCGTCGCTCGGCCTTCTCCCGGACCGTGAGGTGCGTTTGCGTATAGAGTATCCCTCCCTTTCACTCAACGTCATCCGGCGGTCCACAGACCCACTAAACAACTCCTGAGCCCCGCTTCTCAACGTTGCTTGGCGACCGGCCGCAAGGATGAACCTACTTAAAAACCAATTTGAGGTGCGGCTGTGTGTAAAGTACCCCTCCGTTCCACTCGCCATCCCTGAGCGAGTTACTCGCCATCGCTCGCCAGCCAACTGACTCACTCACCGTCGCTCGGCGGCCGCCTGCAGTGTGAAGCCGTTGCTGCCACTGGTGCTGGTCACTGTCTCATTAACAGCCGGAGGGGCGGCGGCAGCGGCGGCAGCGGGGGCGGGCCGGCGGCTCGCCGTCTCCGTGGAGGCGCACTCGGGCGCCGCCGGGCTGTCCTCAGAGTCCTCCTCGGGTGCGGCTGTGGGGGGGGGGGGAGAAGGTACACCAGTTAGTCAGGGTTGTCTCCTGACGGTGCTAGATAAAAGGATCGAAAACTATAATGTCAGTGTATCCTCGGAAGCGGCTGGTGGAGCCCGGCACACATCCTGTAAAGGCATTGCTCAATGTTTGCATACACCTGTCAAGTCGGTAAGTCGAGGTTCCTTTACTGTCGAGGTTTCCTTACCTTACCGTCCTTCACCGTCGCTCAGCGGCCTCCTGGGCCCGCTATATGACGCCTCTGTGTAAGTTCAGTCTGTGTGTAGGGCCCCACCCCTTTACAATCCTTTACCTTTGCCTAACATTTACATAGGTACAATCAAATGTATTGACTGCTATGTGAAAGTACCGCTACCAACAGGCAGATAGCGTCATACTAACCTATAATTAGTCCATCTGATCCAGGCTACTGACAGACGTCTGCTGTTCAAAAACGTTCGCGTGCAGAAATGAAGCTTCAATGCTGCAACCACCCTCTATCTTTCGAGCCCTCTCCAACTCCCAGTCCCTTCCTTCTCCCGCACGTACCTTTGGCGGCGAACGGGTTGTTGAATTTGGGCGGATGTAGTGTGAACGTGCTGCCGCCGAGGCCGTTCGTCTCGGGCGTCTTCAGGCTGGCAGCGGGGACGGAGAGTGCCGACGGCCGCAGTACGGAGCGGCTCGAGGAGACGGCCGCCGCGCCGCCGCCGACACCGCCCAGCCGCGAGGGCGCCAGCACGCCGCCGGACAGCGGACGGTGCTCCGAGCTGTCCGCGGTACTGCGCACCACCGGCGCCGCCACGCGCGCGAACGGGTTACCGAGCCGAGAGGGCGCTAACACACTGCCGGCCGACCCGCCTGCCGGGGACGGAGAGACGGTCAGTGGTGGAACAAGTGTGTCAAATACGGCATAAATGACTTCTGGCTGTGCTTTTCGCTATGTGCACTAGTGAATACACGCGACCATCAGTAATCGGCAGCCGTCAGTAATCGCCACGCACTTTGTATGTGGATCGCTCTTAAATGTAAATACAATAAATACAAATATGTGGGAAGCAACATCTTCAAAATCCTCAGGGCGGTAGCTACAGAAATATATTGCTGATAGGCCACGACACATTCTGAGCTCCATTCCTTTACTTCAATCATGCACAAAACACACAAAACAGATGAAGAAGAGACCACGGATCACATAACGGATCGGCAACTCCCCCCCGCGACCTGTCTCCCCTGCCACCTGGTGGGCATTTAGGTGAACTATCTTCACTAAGGAAGCGGCCGGCCTCGTGCGTGTTGAGGGCGTCGTGTCGGAGCTAATTAAGTGATTTTTCTGCGGAACATGGTTTCTCAGCTAGCTTAGAAGATACCTATGGTATAAATGAGAATGGCAAGAATCGTTAGAGACAGGTTAAGTATTTGAGATTGTATCCTTTGTCATGAAAATCGTTGTTTTCATACCCACGTGGGCGACCTAGCGTCCATCGTGAAATGGGTAATTTTCCGATCGCTGTCATCTCTTACATATATTTCATGAGTATATTTTTGATAAATATTCATCTGCCGATTAAATTAAACCTGTAACTTTCACAAATATACTTGCATAAAGTAAAAACCCACGCCGGGCCGGTACACGGTACCAACCGCGCCGGGCCGAGGGTGTATGAACTATGAAACCCCCGCCCGCCCCCCCCCCCCCCTAACTCGGCTTCTGGGCCACGTAGCCACACGGGGTAAGCGGCATTCCAAAGAGCGTAAAAATAATGGCGGAAATACTTCAGTCATTTTTTAGGTCAGGTCAAAGGTCAGGTTACCAGAGGTCATTAAAGGCAAATTTTGTCTATTTCAACAGTTTTCGAAACACCCGACGCATAACTTGAGAACCAATAGAACTACAGCGCCGCGGAAAAGCGCATTCGATAGCTCTTTCACAGGTCTTTCTGAGTTTTATTCATAGATTTGACCTCAGGTCAACGGTGTAGCCTCCAGAGGGCAAAAACTCCAAAAATAGGCGTGTTTACGAAAAACGTTTTTTTCGGTAATAACTTTTGACTTAAACGAGCCACGACCTTACTTTTGCCAGCATCGTGTTCCTCTCGTCGAGACGCGTCGAATGAACTATACTCGTAGGTTGACCTTGAAAGGCCATTTTGAAAATTGTACGGCAGGCCAAGGTCATGACCTGACCGGAAAGGGTCATGCTGCATATCAGTCGATCCGTATCGTCGAGTTGAACACATCTGACGTGTTTTCATCGCTCTAGCACGTCTATCAAAAGTTATAGTAAAAGAAACTGCTGTTGACCGTTTTCATGCCACTGTTAACATGTAACCCGATGTTTGAGGGTGTTAAGAATGACCCGCCCAGACCAAATGAGACGCCTTTCAATTTGCTCTTATTGACTTATCATTAGTATTATATATATTATTAGCGGCGGGGAGGGTCGTATCGTGAAACAGGGGCCAAGGTCCACCTATAGTCTCGTTAATGGCCAGCTCGTTGGATTTGCTCCGATGTTATCTACTCCAACTGGTAGCCGGTGACCGTCTAGATAGGAACAGGGGATGAACTCGTACTATGGGCAGACGGATGAGGAAAGGTCTTCGTGTACCTGCGGCCAAAAACGACGTTAAAGTTGCGAGGACGTGCTTCTTGCTCATACAACTCAAGCATAACTAGAAACATTTGGATCATTATGCATGCTCCAGCTGATTAGGGAATGAAGTATGTAACATTTCCATGTTATGGTAACATTCCAGCTGTTAGAGAGACTCCGTAATTTAATCCATTCTTAACCTTTGTTTGTTTTTGTTTTGTTGGGTTAGGCCCTTTCGGTCCATTGAGACCATTGCAGAGCCGGAAGTTATAGGAATTGGGGTAAACATTGGTATGGACAGGCACCCTATAGAGTCACCGGGGCTGAGCCCGTCCGAATGGACAGACCGACCAGCCCCCCAAGCACTCTCTGCACCCGGCTACGGGTGTGCTCCTGCATGGGAGCAGTGGTGCGCTTCAAGGGAGCAGCCCGCATGAGATAAAGTTGCCTGTCCAGCCCGGATCAAGAGTTGCTGCGTGGAGGAAAAGGATTTGAACTTGATCTGAACATCCTGAGGATGGAAACGACGGACGGGTGTTGCGTTCACACCCGTTTCCCCGTGCCTTTTAACACTGGTTGCGGCGGGCGGCCGGCTCCCCTCCTTAGTGAAGATATCCGCGCCGCTAGATGGCAGCCCGCTCCGCGGGTACACCGATAACAAAGGGAATCGGGGAGAGTTGCCGATCCGTTAGGTGATCCGTGAAGAGACATAGCAGAGAAATAGCTCTCCATGGATCTGTGCGGTGGGTTCCAATGGTAATGCTGATCGCCAGCCCAGCTAGCAATCACAGAAAGCAGGCTGGTCAGCGGTCACTCACTGTTGGCGCTCTGGTGGTAGGGAGCCGCCGGGCGTGGCCTCAGCGGCGGCTGGGGCATGGCCGCCGCCTCATTTCGAGCCGAGCCGAGTCTCGAGTCAGAGTCCGACACCTCACTGTCTTTGTCTGCGGAGATAGAACAAAGACGGTTACAAAGAATAGAAAGAATAGAATTAATAGAACAAAGACGGTACGTGTGTTCGACGCTTCATAGCTCACTGTCAGTTTAGACTAGCATAATAATAAAAATTAGGGTCGAGACACTGCACTGTCTTGGAAAAGAAGAACAAATGGTGACCAAACTGAAACCTATGTTTGTTTACATGCTTCCCCCCATCCTGGTCTGAAAGCATTCACATGCTGAACATTATTCCCTGACAATTTTGATCACAACGGGCAAATCTTGAACCTTTTAGGATGTAAGAAACCTAAGGCTATGTGAAAGCTATTTTTATCTGTACATATTTTGGGGTGTTGTGAAAAAGCAAGTGCTGTGTCAACTGTCAACCCCTCTGCAGTCAAGAGCTGAAAGGGAGTATTCTACATGGAGGGCATCAGAGTTGGGCACACTGGATGTCTCATGACAGACTGCTGATATGTTACCTGTTGTACTGTGGTTGCTGCAGTCGCTGCTCTCTGGGGGATCTGTGAATCTGTCCATCGATTCCTGCAGGCAAGGGGTACATCTTGTGTAAAAACATATGGCCTATAATCATCATGGCATAAATACTTTGCACAAAGAAACACTACAAAACACTGAGCAACAATCAGTGTTTGTTTACACAAGAGTTTCAGACATGAATGATATTCATCTCACCTTATCTGACCCAGTAGACTGAGCCTTTGGTGTATCATTTGAATCTGAAACATAAAATTGGCAAATTACCAAAGCAAAAACCAAGACAATATGTAGGTAAATGTGTTTATTGTTTGATGTGGGTACATTCATGCAACTGAAAAACAATGAGTGTCAAATACATAACTGTCACAGAAAGACACTGCAATGGGACTTGAAATGTGTTAAATTGAATTATTGCATTAGCAGGCAGCGGATGAAGAATTGCATTTGACAATTCAAACAAAAGAATATTGATGCATAATTTGAAGTACCCAATGCACAAGTACCAACTCAATTCCTTTGACGAGAAGGAACTAACTGCATGAAACATTTCTTAAAGTGAGGTATACCAACGTTCTTCCAAAAAAGGATATTTGTATTGTTTGGGGTAAGTACCTAGGTACCTACCTAATATTTATGTTTGCATAATTAACAAATTAACAGTTGTTTAATACAACAAAAACATTTAATGATTAAAAAATGATGTCTTTAAAATTCAAGAGGACAAGCACATAATTTTCATGAAATCTTTGACACACTGATGATTAAGTGTACAAAAACGAAAAATTTTGTAGAACACCTGACCCTACCCAGCATGATAAAGACATGATGCTGATGACTGATGAGTGATGTCATATATTAGCCTCATGGGGTCAAAATAGGCATATGGCACCCTTAATAGCAATTAAAACCCTTGTTATCAATTGGATTGATAAGTGGCACGATTACGCAGCAGAAGCCACACAAAACATCAAACTTATTTAATAAATGACATTAATATATGTAAAAGTCAAACGAAACGTATTCCATACATTTTAAATAATTCATAAATCAGCAGATACTTTCAATACAATCAAAGAGAACAAAATATAATTAAAAAACAAACAATAGTTGTTACATGTTGATGTAACAATAACATGTGAAACTGAAACTCGCAATTGTTCCTATCTTTTAAGTGCACAATGAAAGAAACTGAAACAAAAGATACCATCTATTTAAACATTAGCGTAATTTGTGTAGCATTTCTCATCACCTGACAGTGTAAGCTCAAAATGCACATGTAAAAATTAAAATAATCAACCCAAACTTTCAATGCTTCACAATTGCAATCGCACCCATCCAGGCAGCTTTACACATATGTTTAGATCAAAAGCATGAGTTGGTGATTTACCTTGCTGCGACATGATTTCCTTAATCTAATTTCAGAAAATTTGACCACCAATGATATCTCAGTTACCGCGTATTAATTATTATTTTGATGTGAAAGACCCAAATCAGCTTTCAAAACACAATGCGCATATTACGAAATATCTGCGCAGTGTATGCCGCAATTCACTTTCAAGCAAATTTCATCAAACCCCGGAGTAATAAGCTCAAATTGGTAAGAGTTTCATATCAAATCTGGAATAGGACATCCTAATTAATCGAAAGAAACAAAATAAAATGCAAAAATAACACATAAAAGGCAAACCTCCGCTGTCAGCCATTTTGAATGACGTCAATGAAGTAGAGATGAACATCTATTGCAATTTGGAAATCTTTGTGGTTTTGCAAACAAAATATTAAATAAATGTTACCTGATTCTCGGATTCATTTAAATAACTTATTTCATTGAGGATCGTAAGCATCAAGTTGATCGTGCTAAAATAATCCAGATAAGTCACCTCTAGCACCTAGAGCTGCCATTTTTATTCATCTTCAGACACCGTCGCGACTCGCGATCATTCATACACTGCATGGTGTGTCATAAGTGGAAATAGCCGGTACGCCGTCTGGCAACCCGGCAGCCCGCCGCCATAGGGAAATTCATGCTTTTTGTCGCTTTTTCGCTCCTTATGAGTCACTTGATCTAATTAGAGCTTAACTAGGAACGAGGCGGGTCACTTGGACGTATTCGGGAGCCGAATACGGTGTTTTGGAGCCAATACCTGGGAAACCCTACCCGCCCAATGCGAGTTTTTAAGAGTCTGCATGCCCAAATTAACGTTGAGCGCGGCCGTTTTCGGTCGGTTTTCCGCGACCTTGTGGCGAAATCGCCTTATTTATTCAACCAGGGTGGGCTAATTCGCTTAACTAGGAATGAGGCGTTGAAGAGAATTATTCAAGGAATAGAGCTGTGCAAAAATATTCTTTGTATTGTTAAAACTGTATCCGCCCTCGAACGATAAATATTGTTGACACATCAGAAACACAGCCCCTGGAATGCGTTTGGACTTGGCTGGATCTAATATTAGCGAGTATCTGCTAATGCAGTTCCTTGGCTTACACAGTACGCACACAAGCATACATACTTCCTGCCGTTGGTTATTCCTCACTTGAATGAAAATTTTGCTATAATAACTATTCCAAGCAGTTAACAGGTTTTAGTGCAGTGCCAAGTCGGAACCGTTCAGCGCCGCTAGTCTCTCAGGCGGCGCGTATAGCGGCCGCCGCCGGCCGCCGCGCCGCCGCTCTGGCAGGGTGTTTGACTTCATATCTCTGTTGCTAGAAAAGTTGTGGACCGATTTACTTGATTCTTGCATGAAAAGATCCGCCATTCAATTCTTAGCAGATAACGAAAATTTGACGTCAATTGCACGATCCGCTGCCCATATTGTGGTACTGCCATCCATTGACAAGGCTGGCGAACTAAAGCCGGACGGCTATTTCCACTTTTGAAACACCATGAAAACAATTTAATTAATTTCAACCCAAGGCCGGTGAGTATTCCAGTGTTTCATGGGTGCCCCTATCCGCAACCATTTTAAAGGAAGGGTGCCACCTTTTGGACACAACGCAGTTTTTACAAGATTAGCCTCACATGAACCTAAAAACCGGCTTCACTTACCTATGCTCGAGACGGTCAGCATTGAATCCGCACGTGAAGTTATCATTTGCGAGTTTTGCTGCCAGCATTCGGGCAGGCAAAAATCTTCAGCACTATTTCCTCGTCGTGTTAAGGGTATTTTATAAAACATGAAATCAGCAAAGGTATGTATAAAAGTTATACTTTTGAAGCATGTTTTATCATTTTGAAAGGGTATATTTTTTCTTTATGGTATACACTTAAGTTTTAAAATTTTAATTGGGAAGTTTTTCTAGTAAGTTGCATGAAGGGTGAAGGGTTCCATAGATCTCTTAAGCATTGTAAAGGAAAAACCTTTACTCGACTTATTTGATGTTCTTTAACTGTTGGCAAATATGGCCAACAGTTACCTACTTGGTTACCTACAACCACGGTGACTATAAATACCAAGGCCATATAACCAGGTATGGTCATCAGGCTTTTTTTTACCGTCCCCCTACCGGGCCCGAATGACGTCACTGGGATGGTAACTCGCCGGCCGCCGTCCGTAGCCATTATGGAGGACGGACGTTTAAATACGTTTTCAGCGGATTTTAGTGCAGTTTTGATGTTCGATGCAAGGCAGAACGGTGTGATGTTTCCTCAGTGAAGCAAATCAGGACCAGCTGTTACTCGAACCAAAGATTTGGCGACATTATTGGGATCGGACCGAGCCAACGTGCGCCCCGCCGGTGATCCGGCCAGCACATCGGCGGCTCTCTCGTAGATGAAAATCGCCATAGTTTTGCGCCAGGCTTCGGAGTCAATGGATTTCTGGTGACTCTGACTCCAACCGCGACTTCCAAAAACCAACTCCGACTCCGACTCCGGGCTGGGTAATCAACTCCGACCGACTCTAACTCCGACTCCGCAGCCCTGCCAGATCTGCGGAGCGGCCAGGGCTGCGGAGTCGGAGTCGGAGTCGGTCGGAGTCGACAGTTGTGACCGGAGTCGGAGTCGGAGTCGACTTTAGAAACCCGAGCCGGAGTCGGAGTCGGAGTCACCGAAAATATGTCGACTCCGCAGCCCTGCTAGATCTGCGGAGTCGGAGTCGGGAGTTGGAGTCGGTCGGAGTCGACAATTCTGCCCGGAGTCGGAGTCGGAGCTGGTTTTTTAAAGCCGGAGTCGGAGTCGGAGTCGGAGTCGCCGAAAATCCATCGACTCCGCAGCCCTGGCGGAGCCGATGGATTTTCGGTGACCCCGACTCCGACTCGGTTTCCAAAATCGACTCCGAGTCCGGTCAGAACTGTCGACCCTGACTCCGACTCCGCAGCCCTGGTTTTGCGTCTATTTCGCCCCATAATTAAGAGAGGTGTGAACTGCACAAACCGAAATTGTACCGTAACACAAGTATATGTACACATTCCAAACTTCTGACTGGAACGAACCAAATGCGTACACAATATACCGGTTTATGTCATACCATAAATCGTAGTTATAAAAAAAACATATTGGACAGATTGGTAGAGGACAAATAAGGCACAAGTCTAATCTCTTGCGACTTGAGTAGGTACAATAAAATGCTCCGAACTGTCGGAAAGTTGTACAAGATGTCGCCTCTCCAAACACAATGTGCCGATTGACTCCGCGACAGCCAGGAACCGGGCTACATAACACGTGAAACAGAGCGGTGGCACCTCAGCACAGGCTCCCCAAGCTCGTCAAGGCGGCGAGAAAGGTCCGGCAAGTCGGTAACAGGTTCACCACGGCAGCGACAGGTCAGGCAGGTCGGCAGCAGATTCACCAGGGCGGTGGCAGGTGCGACAGGTCGGCAGCAGGTTTACCAGGGCGGCGACAGATCCGGCAGGGCGACGGCAGTTTCACCAGGGCGGAAGCGTAGACGCGGCGGCAGGTCCGCCGGGGTGGCAGCAGGTCCAGGGCGGCCGCAGGCTCACCAGGGCGGCGACAGGTTCGGCAGGGCGACGGCAGTTTCACCAGGGCGGCAGCGTAGACACGGCGGCAGGTCCGCCGGGGTGGCAGCAGGTCCAGGGCGGCCGCAGGCTCACCAGGGCGGCGACAGGTCCGGCAGGGCGACGGCAGTTTCACCAGGGCGGCAGCGTAGACACGGCGGCAAGTCCCAGGGCGGCTCAGGCTCACCAGGGCGGCGACAGGTCCGGCAGGTCGTCGGCAGGTCGGCCTCAGCAGCAGGCAGTCAGCACTAGCAGATTCTCGGGGCAGCCCTGGCTGAGGTGGGATGTCATCAGAAACTGCACGTCTGGGTGCCGGTGTCGGATGTCGTACAGACCACGCAGCGAGGCTTTACTGCGCAGCACGCCCTGCTGGCAGCGCAGGAGTGTCGGCAGCCCAGCGGGTGCTTTCGGGTCGCCTTCCTCAACTTCCTTTCGGAAACTGGCGCTCGCCACTCAGGGAGTCGGGCGACGTCTCCAAAGCTGGGAGACAGATGCTGAAGTCGATATGATGTGATTTTATGCCCTCAGCTCGGTGCCAGTCATTGTGTTATGTGCAGGTAGCCACTCCTCGCCGTCCTGCACGCCAGAGGACCAGCCCCGGACCTGCAAAACACATTACCAAGTTTATTAACACAATGCAACATGAAAAAATTCACTAAGCGATGGCAAGCAAAAATAATCAATGCCCAAAGATGCCTTTTCTTCGATTGCCTTTTCTATGTGCTGATATGAAGCCTCAAAACATGTACCATTTTATATTATGTATTGATTGCAGGCCTGACTCAGAATTCAGTTGAACCAAGCAAATAACACAATTTTTCATTATTATTTTGAATTTGGGTCTGGCATTACTGTTCCATGCACAGGTGCATCTGCGTATAAAATCATATGAAGCAAATGCATTAGGTAAATAGTCTCAACAAATAGAAATTAGTAGTAGCACAGGTGGTATAAATAGAAACCAATATATAGACATTAGACAAGGATGAGCTTGTTTAGTTAGCAAATGTCAATGACATAACATTTACATAAACAAGAATGGGATTTTCAGTAATAAGCATGTCAGAAATCCTTTTAAATTCAATTTTGAAAGTTTAGATACAGATTATAAAATCTGGCAACAACTAATATTGAAAAGAAGTAACAATGAGCTTCAACTTTGCACAAAAGATGTGCCAAAATTTTGGTGAGAAATCACTTGCGCTGAATTTTGAGACCCGAAAGCCCCTGGGCCCTGGCGCATCTGACAGTGAGTGAATTTTTTTCCAGTCTGGGAGGTAAGCATAGATTGATTTGTTATTTGATACTATTTAATTTGACAAATAAGTTGTTATTTTCACAAAGCATTAAGATTTATAGAAGCTAACCACTTCCGATCCGAAACAATTTACAACTATTCCATCTCCATTCTCCTTCTCATTATGTTTTAAACAATGCTAAGGTATTTTACAACTTAATATGAGATTATCATGCTCCCTTTGAAAGCCAAAAATGACAAAAAAAGGTTAAACCGGGTTGAACTGAAACGTGGCTGACCTGCCTATGATACTCATGCTTATACAGTTGAATTAATTGAATACCTGAGCTGAACTGCTGAAGCTGGTCATTCTTCATGATCTCTGAGACGACAAGTGTGTGAATGCCACTTATGTATATGCTTTTCCGATCTTC